CCCCCCCCGCGGCCAGACTCCCTTGGCCAATTTTACTCTCTTTTTTTCCACGATCCGTATTCCCGTAGAAAGGCCCAGTGGAGGCTACCTCTGTCCAGTAATTGTCCTGTTAGAAAGAGGTCAGTTTTTATCTTACAACTATGTTGTTATCTCTTGTACAGCGTTGTTACGGCCTGATCATGGAACAGTAGTTCTGTATACAACAGTTATGGCCTATTTCTTCTGGGTCAGATAACCACGACCCATGGCTAGCTGTGCAGATAGAGTAAATATTGTGCGACGTAGCGTATTATGGCATGGACAACTAGTAAACATACTTTTAAAGGCAACCAATGCAGTTTTAGGGCTTGGAGACCCAATTTTTCATAGCCAATAGTCTATAGTCGTTTACCTACATCCTGAGTCGAAACCGCACTATCCCAATGTACATTGACCCTCGTGGAGCAAAAGTTCCCAACATTCTGACGGAAAATGGTCACTGGAAGGTCCCTTGCCTGATTTTTAGGGTACCACCCAAAAAATAAAAGACTCATCTTGCGGCTTCTTTCTGCAGTTTTAAATGCCCAAAGTATGAAATGCTGACTCAAATGTGCTAATGTGAAGCAGCATGTGTCAATATCATAAAGATTGAATAAATTCAGAATATTTCCAGTTTTGCTGCCCTAAAATAGAATTAACAAGGAAAATTATTTGGAACCCTGAACTTCTATTGCTTAGATGTAGTAATGTTAATCTACCTACAATATACACGTAAGCAAGTCTTTGCTCAGTAGTGACCCTTTGATAAATTACAACCCGCATTTATCAGTGACTAATGTACCTTTGACATTCGTTTATACAAGGACGTTGTAAGCTCCTTGGTTTATAGGTTGAAACGTGTCAAGTAGCAAAGCCATGTCGGTTCGAGTTCATAGCCTCCACCGGGTCTTTCTACGGGAAAACGGATCGTAGAATTCGGCAAAAAAGAGAGTAAAATTGGTCAAGGGAGTCCGGCCGCGGGGAGGTAGTTTCTAACTGCGCGGCCAGTCAAACCTACAAGGCGGTCAAACTCCCCTGACAAATACTAGTATTCTCCTATATATAGCCAGCGTAGTCAGTCTGGTAGAGACTAGGTTCGATTTATAATGAACGATTTTCGTTTCCCTCTGTGCATTGAGACAAAATATATACTGAGATATATTTCTTCGTGCTTTGTTTAATTCATCAACAAAAAGTGTCTGACTAACGAACGTAACACACTGTATCACACACCCTCCATTATATTTATCAGTTTAAGTACGCCTAAAGCTGTCTCGATCTTAATTGATAAGACAAACACCACAATAGCTGGCGAGATCCTTATCGCCAAGGTACGTGAAATATTCAACACTGGATAAAGGAAAAAACAATAGCAGCAACGTTAACGCCCAGCCATTACCTGTCTGAGTTGAGGTGGCTTACGTTGATACCTTTATACCTAGAAAAACTTCAAATGTATGGCCATTTTAGCGTAACATTTTCCGATATGAATTCTACCTTTCTCTTAAGAAAGAGATCTTGACATTTAACGATTTTTAAAAGGTATTCAATTCAATTTCAGGACGTCTAGATTTTCATTTTTCTGGTCATTCTTTTAATGTATACGTAGTTAATTGAATCAACCATATCCCTTAGCATACTGAAATTTGTGAGGCAAAATACGATGTTGTTGACGGAAAACTGTTGCTTATTTTGTATCGTTGGATGGTTCTAGCTGTTTATTGGTAGTACATGTACGAAAAAATAAAATAGAGGGACTGCTCATGTGGCTTGTGTTTGGGCTATTTCGAATGCTGAAATGATTACTAAAAAGTACTAAGAAATGGCAGTAAAAGTTAATAGACAGATATGACAGATATCCTCATCCAGAGTATTTTCTCGCCCTGAAATTGCATTGGATGTCTTTCAGTTCAGAAAAAAAACAGCGCACAGTGAACCATGTCCGTGTGAATACAGGCGATGTGTTGTGGGTTGAGCCGGGCTTTGCCTGTCCAGGCGGGGGCCCAATTGTCTGTACAAAATGGGGAAGCCAAGCAGCAGCAAGTGGCTTTGTAGAACGCCCCGTCCTGTTTCTTCGCGCGTGTAAGGTCCTTTTCTTCTCCGGTCACGGATCGAGAAAGGACGGTCTTACCCGACTGGTTGGTTTGAATTCGAAACACGTCTAAAACAACAACAGCTAAAAAAAATAGTACAGGGTAAAACTTGTCTCTTCCAAACCGTAAAAAGGGTGAAATCGGGTCGTAATCGTTTGCGAGTCTGTCTGAGTGTTGTGGTCGACTGAACGAAAAGATTAGTGTCAGGATACGGGTAGGTAAGTCCTAAAACTGTGCCAGATCATCTCAATTTGTCAGTTATTTGTTGAAATACATGACAAATTCGCAAAGTATTTTTTCTCTATAGCCTAGGGCTAGTGACAAAGAGTATGATACTGACGTGTACAGTTGAATCAATGAAAGTAGGCGAACACGTTTTCGCATCCAAACTCTTAACGTCGACCTCTGACCTAGGCGTTGTTTGAACGCGGCACTATAATAACGCTGTAGTGTGTGTACTGGAGGTACAGATTAGCTCCCTGACCCACAAAAACCTACCAAACCCCCCTCCCTCCTCAAACGGTAAACCTGGCCTCTCCTCGCAAATACAGCTTTACCATTTGCATAATCTCTGCTCCACAGTTATAGATTAGCCACTGTTTCAGACTACATCAACTTGTTGAAACGTTCCCACCCTAAACAATGGGATAAAACGCAGTTTTGTGTCGGTAAGTGTATACACATACCACCGCTAGTTTATACACACCAGTTCGGTCCAAGCAGGTTGCTTAAAGAATGCGTTGTTACTATACTGACGAAAAACGGGGGCATGTATGTCACGCCAAAGTCACTGTGATTAACAGGTTGGCGGTTTGAACGCCTGCAAGGTGTCAATGTGTGGTAAACAGACGATAATTTCACGGACGATTGTTCTAGCTCACCCGGAAGTCTGACGAAGATTTGCGGGCAAACAATTTCATTTTACCCGTCCCTCCACCCACTTTTCTCGTACACAACACTGTTTTCTGTTACCCAGGGGTCACTGAGAACCGTTGGGATATCTTAGACGCACAGGTAAAGGTGAGATGTCGTCTTGCTTACCTTCTTGTACCAACGAAGACGCCCACTGAGGAAGGCAGATCGCAAGAAGCAGCACCCAGGTTTCCATCTTTCGTCTAACGCCTTTCTAGCACAACGTAGAACACAAACAAGTGGTCAGAGCCCCACTTAAAACAACAACGGAGAGAAAAAAGTCAAACATGGCACCGGGCCGGATAAGTTACCCTCGAGGGAGGTCGCTAGGTGAGACGTCACGTGACCCAACTTGACGTATTAAGTGGCGAAGCAGTTACAATGAGAGCAGGGTGTCACGTCCATCGGAGTGAGAGTAAACAGTGGCGCACACATAAACACGTTAAAGGCCCTCCGGTGCAATTTCAGGGCAGCAAAACTGGAAATATCCTGAATAAGGCAACCTTTATGATATTGGCACATGCTGCTTCACATTAGCACATCTGAGTCAGTATTTCATACTTTGGGCTTTTAAAACTACTGCAGAAACAAGCCCCAAGATGAGTCCTTTATTTTCTGAGTGGTATCCTAAAAATCAGGCAAGGGCCTTTCCAGTAACCATTTTCCGTCAGAACTTTGGGATTTTTTTGCTCCACGAGTCAATATACATTGGGATAGTGTGGTTTCAACTTAGAATTTAGATAAATGACTATTCAGATTTCCACATGCAAAATATTTTGTTTTGTATTGCCGCCTTGAATTTGCATATTGGATGCCTTTAAAGGAAGGGTGTTGGCCATGGGAAAGGAACGAACGGAATGAAAACACGCCACGATAAGACGGGTGTAGAATTTTCAAGTGGCTGTGAAGTGACGGGTTTGTTTACATGCCGCCATTTACCTTAATGAATTATGTTACAGGGTTACCTTTCCTGTGGGTGGAAAGTGCTCGATGGAAAGTAGTTCAGGAGTGAGTGAAAACCGGAAAATACGGATCCATCCGCACCTATCCGTCATCTTTACACATACCTATATGAGCCGTAATAAATGCCTAAAGAAGAAAAATACGTCAACTTTCAATTTTACAATTTAAATGTTTTAATGACTATTTACGACATTGCTGAAAGGCTACATGAAACCGGAAAATAAGGATCCATCCAGACCATGTAACGATGATATTTACGTACTCGTATAAAAGGTGTATAGATGCGCAAAGATTGAATATAAGTTAACGTTAAGCATGGTTGAAACTTCCGTAAATGCGGTTTTTCGTACCGTGTGAAAGTATCTTGAGGGTAGCAACTTTCCTCGTTTTGTAACGTTTTGATGCATTGTGTGGCCGTTCCTAAAAGTGCCGTTGTGTGCACACACGATTGTAAGTACGGACTGAACAGTCTATCATACGATATGGGCTTAAAACTGAAGCCAGACCTTCGTAGCCACAACAACTGATCATATGATACTACGACTGGAACAGGTGAAATGGATTTAACTGCTCAATGGTTTGAAGTGCGAGTATTTTTCTCAAGGTTTTCCTGGCATGCCAAAATAGGGTGGGATAAGAGTAACTTTACCATATAGAGAATTTCTAAATCTCTCTCTGGTAAATTGATGGAATAAAAGGGGTGCTATCCCATTAATTCACCATATAGAGATTTTCTGAATCTCTTTCTGGCAAATTAATGGGATAACAGGGGTTTTATCCCATTAATTCACTATATAGTGAACTCTTGGTGGTATAATGGGATAGCATTTTCGATTCTACCTATATCTATCCCATGTAAAAGTAGTTAGCACGTTTTTAAAGACAATACCTTTCAGTACTATAACTGACACACATACACAAAATTACGCTGCATACACAAAATTTACTCCTTTCGTCTATCTGGAGTCTTTAATTTTTTTCTTCTTACAGAAAGGTAACAAATTTTATTGAGCCATGAAGCAGTGCCAGCTGCTATACAAACTTAAAATTCTATATTTAGAAAAGATATAACTTTTATCGTATCATTATTATACATCATCAAAAGATTATCAAATCAGTAAGTGAAGAAATTTTAGTATTGCAGAGGAATGAAGAACTATTGAATTCACAAACACACAATTAATACAAAATTATGAGAGAGCCTGTCATGTAGCAGAGATTGTGCTAGGACAAAAATAAAGCATTAGTGTACTTTGCAAAAAAAAAATACCATGAAAATGCAACACTTGTTCTTTTGATATCTACTCCCTGTGTAGATTTTTATCGCTTAGAGCTATCGTGTAGCAAAGGTGCTACAGAGTCATTTCCATGACGTGTTTGTTTATTCTTTTTGTTTACTAAGGCGTATTCCGGAACTCTCTTGCTCCGGACATCCGACTTCTGTTTACTTTTTGGGTCATCGTCGTCGATCAAACGTTCGTCAATTGTACTGTAGTGCCTATCATCTCCGCAAGGTGGCGTGGATGGAGGTGGAGGGGCCTTTCTCTTGGTTTTGACCGGAGTGGCGTAGGTGACCTCAGAGGAGGAGGGGTTCAGTTGCACCTGCTCGGGCTCTGATTGGTCCGCGACCTGCGTGTAGGCGGGGCTTGGTGGGTGTGACGTCACGGGTACCTCTGGGTTATAAGGAGGAGGTCTGGACCACTCCGTTGTGTCTCTGAATGTAAATGTTAATGACCGAATTAATACTACATGAATTCATCGGTAAGTCGCACACGTAATGCATGTGCCGGCAAGAATCAAAACGGTAGCATGTCTAGAACACGAGATATCACACCGCTACAGTGCCGTATAAAGCCACTAGATTACCCATAATCGAACTTGACCTTGGTTATCCCAACCCTGACCTACCTACTAAATATCAGAAAGATACATGCACCACACCCCAAGTTATAACCGTTTAAAAATGGTCTACCCCTATATATGGTCTACCTAACACATAACCTACTCGGCGAAGGTAATAAATGTGGTCCCGACCAACCTTTTCCTCCGGAGGACGACAAGAAGAACCACAAGAATCACCAACAAGATGGCGATGATGACTGCACACACCGTGATCGCCGCTATCGAGCCTGGGTCCAGATAAAAAGGAACACGCATATTTATCAAATGGCTAAAGTATGTTGCACCACTTGCAATGGAATGGGAGACACCCTTAACACACGCTCGCTTTATCTGTCAGAGCTGACAATGCGTTGACTGAAAAGAACCATCCCCCCTATCGTTACAAAGTTTAGACTAGTCCTAACCTGCCGATAACGTCGCCGGCACACGATCCTCGTCAGACGGTGCCCTGGTACCGGGAGTTGGAGTTATGCTGTACGACTCCGGGAACGAGATTGCCTTGCTGGAACCTGTGGATACGAAAGTGAGTTTGATATATAAAACTTTTAAACCTCTTCATGGAAAGAAAGAAAGTCACACAAATTACGTAGAGAACAAATGTCAACTTTATGTTCAGTTGGTATAATTGCCCTTTCGCGTAACAGACCAGCTTCTTGGGCACGTGGAATGTTCTGTCACTCCTAACATTTGCACACCTAACTACAGGTGTTGTTTTGATGCTATCTAGTGAGGATGGCCCTATTGTGCTTCACGACAATGCATATGAGTCACGACTTACCGTTACATCTGACGGCCACAGCCTCCCCCGTCCCACATCCTGCACGGCCCGCCTCCCCCGGCCCCCACGCCGCCCTCTCAAACACACACCGTCTCAGCCTGTCCTCAGTCCCCGTGCACCGCGTGCCGTTTATCCACACAGGGCTCCTAAAACTATCGCCGTTCTGCACGGACGGAATGTTCTCGGCGTTGCTGTGGAAACCGTTCCCATAGAAACCGAGTTCCCTGCAGACGACAGCGCCCTCCCTGTGCGCGGCCCAGTCTCTGTCACAGACCACGCCCCACCTGCCTCTGTGGTACACCTCCACACGGCCTTCTGATTGGGCGACACCGCCAGCCAATCGCACTCCAGCTTTTATTGACAAGCGGGAGGACAGTATAATGATTTTAATTACTTAGCAACACAACGTCCTGATACTCATACATCTTGTTATACGTTGGCCAGTAGTACTTTCTTAAGAAATTAATATCAGTCAATGAAACGATGTTCTTAAGTGTTCTTCTCGTCGAAAAGGTCTTTAAAAATGAAAAACAGAATCACACAGTAGACAGAATCATGTCCATACCTTCACACAGCAGGCCCACATCCTCGGAGTGGCTACAGTCTCCCACCTGTAGTTTGTTGCAGCTCAACAGACTGCGCTCGGAGCCGTTACAGGCCAGCACGTACCGCGGTGTCGGGACGCCCTCTGGCGCCTGCGGGAAGTACTCCTCCGACCATCTCCAGTCGACTGCGCCGGGAAACCCAAGCTGACGACAAGCGACCTGAAACGTTTAAAATTGATTTCTGTATTTCCAGGGTTTTTTTCCATTTTAGAATATTTCTGGATTAGAACCTGTAATGAATTAGAGTCAGACGGGAAGAAGAAATGACACCATATTCCATCAGAAGTCTAAAGAGGACGCACTTTATCACTCGGTCAACTCGGTCCACTCGGTCCACTCGGTCAACTCGGTCCACTACCCTGGTCAACTCGGTCAACTCGGTCAACTCGGTCAACTCGGTCAACTCGGTCCACTACTCTGGTCAACTCGGTCAACTCGGTCAACTCGATCAATGGGTCAACTCGGTCCACTCGGTCAACTCGGTCAACTCGGTCCACTACCTTGGTCAACTCGGTCAACTCGATCAACTCGATCAACTCGGTCAACTCGGTCAACTCGGTCCACTACCCTGGTCAACTCGGTCAACTCGGTCAACTCGGTCAACTCGGTCAACTCGGTCAACTCGGTCAACTCGGTCAACTCGGTCAACTCGGTCAACTCGGTCAACTCGATCAACTCGGTCAACTCGGTCCACTACCCTGGTCAACTCGGTCAACTACCCTGGTCAACTACCCTGGTCAACTCATCAACTCGGTCAACTCGGTCAACTACCCTGGTCAACTCGGTCAACTCGGTCAACTCGGTCAACTCGATCAACTCGGTCAACTCGGTCAACTCGGTCCACTACCCTGGTCAATTCGGTCAACTCGGTCCACTCGATCAACTCGGTCAACTCGATCAACTCGATCAACTCGGTCAACTCGGTCAACTCGGTTTTTCAGGTTTCGCAATACCGTAAGTTGCAGGCAATCTTTCGTGCACCTGCACAACCGTTGTACCAGCTCACCTGTGCCTCCGGGTCTCCCCAGCTCCGACCACACACGGTGGTCCAGACACCGTCCAACAGCACCTCCAGGCGGCCCTGGTGCGGTACTGCACCCCCGGACAGACGAACTCGATCTACGCAAATTGTGAAGCAAAAAACCTTTATTTCTTTCTCCTACATGTATAACAGGGCCAATTAGAGGCCTTTGAAATAACGAGCCAAAGAATCCATGGTTCATAAAACCGCATAATCCGAAGGAAATGTTTTGGTAGGCATTCCTCCAAAACTATACTATATAGGTATTACAGTTTCCAGTCTGTAGTTTCCAGTGCTGTTCGCTGATAAAAGACAACGGTTGTTTTGGCGCAGACATGTCAATCATATGGATGAGTAGTCACGCATGGGTCTGAAGGCTTAATGCAAGTGTTGACCGCTTTAAGAGACGTGTAGAAATAACAAGTGTCTGGGAGAACGTTTCTGTGTAAACATGTTGTTCAACACATCCATTAAGAACACACAGGTGAAACGGGGGCGGGTCGTTATATATCCTGGAGGGTATATTAAATTAGTAACAATAACACTGTATTACAGAAAATTTCCATACATTTCCGTTATTTAATTGGGTTTGAAGATAGTGAAAGCAAACGTATATCTATAACCTGGTATTCAGTCTATCGTGGTTGGGGCGGGTTTTCTTCAGGGCTGCTGAGGATTTTTCTGGGCAGGAGTTTGAATAGACCCACTACACTCCTACCGGGCGGCCTGTTGTACTGTGCGGGGGAAAACTATTAGAGCCCCGAAGAGAACCTGCCCCAACCACGATGGACTGGACACCAGGTTGGTATCATCTATGAATGTCCCACCTTTACAGAAGACGCTCGCTACATCGTCCCCCAGACCACACCTGACTCTTGTCTCTCTGCACTCGGACAAAGAGGCTGAACCTGAGAGGGGGCAGTTCATCACATTATACAACATCTTCCTCCAAAACAATAACTATCTGTGTGTGTCCTTCTTTTCTATCTAAGATCTTTTAATTCTTAGCAGTAGATATCATAAGCATGTACTCTCAAACAAAGAGCCAGAAAAGTGAATAGAACATCATCTACGGTTTGCTGGTATAAATTCTATTATTACTATGATTGAAGTACGTTTTTAAGGGCCTTATTTCCGACGTTTAGGAACCACAACACTCAAGGAATTGGCTATACATGTCAAGAAGAATCAACCAAGGCGACAGCGAACACTCTTAGTTTGCTTATCCATCCATTGAGTCACTCATTCATTCAGTACTACGAAATATAGCGATGTGAGTCACTAGAATATCAAACATTTATTTTCGCTCTCGTAACGGAAGATGCCATGAATAAAATCTAATTTATGAGGCCTGTGTCCGTACTTGTCAACACTACTCTGATAACAGATTCGTGTTTTCCCCATTAATGACTAATTCCTACAAGTTCTAATCCTTGTACCATCTGTACAGTCGGTCATTGATGAATGCCAAGACGTTTCCGTGACATTCTGTACCAGGAACAACACATGTGCTGACAACACAAGAACACACACACTCTCTAGCCTCTACCGGGCTTCGGAAGGCGGCCGGAAAGAGTAGAAATTGGCCAAACATGCCGAGGGAGTTGGTCCGCTAGAAAGTACCGTTTGCCGCACCCGTGGGTCGCAAAATGTACCCTTTCTGGTCGGCTAAGTTCCCTGGTATACTATTCCCTTTATTTTGGCCAATTTCTACTATTTTTCCAGCGATCCGCGGTGCCTGGTAGAGGCTACACACTCTCTCCACAACAACAGGAAATACGCCCTCACCGCACCTGGCAAACAGTCAAACCCTCGGGGATAGATCGTCTGGCTTCCCTTTCCGAAGAACGAAGTTCTCATGCCGTACGTGGACTTGGGGAATTGCAGGTCCCCGAAGCCCAGTTCCCGACAGACCGTCCTGGCGGCGGGGATGGTCCAGTCGTACCCGCATAGAGAGAACCAGCGGGCCGAGTCGTACACTTCAACCCGCCCCTCGGACTCCGAGTCTCCGTCAGTGAGGCGTACTGAGGAGAGATAGGACGGGATAGGGTCGGATTTCTAACTTTGTTTGAGGTCGACATTTTCCACATTCTTGTCGCCGTAAGGTATACGACAACCTGACAGTTACTGAGTACAGACCGCTTGTTACGTCTCTCGGTCAATTTGGTTTGTAGATTCGGAACCGAGTAACGTTAATCAATCAACTTGGCATGTGGTAAGCTCGCTCACAGGGCGCGCATTTAAGGGAAGAGGGGAGGGTGGGAGCAAATTGTGCTTCTTTCTCACTCTAGGTCCCTGCTAGGCCAGAGTAACATAACGTGTACTGACAATGTTCAATTATAATGATCTTTATGAATGATCTAAACTAATATATAGATTTTCCGTTTGTTTTGAGATACAAAATCACACACAGCCGTGGTAAATATAAAATTTCACAATATAAAAAATATACGCTTAAGATTAGCAATATACGTAATACTTATATGTGTAAATAAAAGTATAATCCTGAAAACGTCATTATGAATATAATGGTAGCGTCCAGTTCTACACCCTTTTCCGTAGTGTAATGGTAGCGTCCAGTTCTACACCCTTTTCCGTAGTGTAATGGTAGCGTCCAGTTCTACACCCTTTTCCGTAGTGTAATGGTTTCTCCCAAACAGGTGGTTGAGATGAGTACCTAAAACGCCCCCCCCCCCATTTCCCGTTTTTTTAGGCCGGAAATATCAGTGTTGACGTACATTCCGGCGGGTGTGAGGCCTGGCTCAGGTAACAGCCCAGACAAAACCACTGTGTACTCGGGAATTCCTGCTACAAAACGAACGGTGAGCGGCAACAATGTCGTCCCACCGCCGGCAAGACATGAGTCATCTGCCCGCTAGGGATGCGGTCACAGTCTCGTAAATTAGCTAATCCCGATTAGACTGCTTCAAAACTAATTACTTCTACAGGATCAATCCCTGTCGCAAGCTGAAAAGCTGAACATTTTCTTGTAATGACTAAATTCCAACGTAAATCTCCATAAGACTGTGGTATTTCAACTGACAATATATCTACTGCAACCGAGTACATAACCTGCACAGCTACAGATGTATGACCGCTAGACTAATAACACTTGTACGTAATATGACATTGGCAGTAACATATTCTGTCGCCACCTACCTTTCTGTACAACGGCAACAGCGAGTTGAAACGTTACAGCGGCGAAAAGCACACACGTCCAACCTCGTACAGCCATTCTGTCGACCGGCGAAGAACAACAACAATGGTCGGTGCACCGCGGGTTAGTCTAGACCCTCCTAACTGAGCCGACGATTTGTAGGTGAGGACAAATAGCGCGGTGTTGAGTTGCATGGCGTCACGTGAACTCTCGGGGGCCCCACAACATCACGCCTACGGTAGAGGGTATAATACTGCACGGCTTTATCATATACACCACGTACGTGCGATGGCTACGAACCAAGTCCAGCTACCGCCAACCTTAACGACAAAATCGTCCGTTGAAACCATGCCAGGTCTTCAAACCGCGATCAATTGTTTAAAATCCGCCTCGCTTGGCGAGTTTTGATGTGCCTTTCCTCTTAGGAGGCAGTGACCCGTTCTAGCTCTCGGCTCCTACAGAATCCAGGGGGCGATTTCACCGTACTACCGCGCTCCAGATGCCCACAATGTGATCACGTCTGTCCTGTTAGTGGACGTCTCCAGTTATTGTTAGGCCTTGAGTGGATTATATGGATGACGTCCACGCGCGCATGAATTTTCGTGTTTTCAAAAAGAAAAAAAGACGTTTTTCGACCATACTGTGAATCGTACAAAGTATACGTAGCTGCAAACTTAGCAAATATATGCCTTAAATTGAAAACAAATATTGGAAAATGATACTTATGTAGCAGAATGCCAAAATCCATTCCAAAGGACAAGAAGAAAATGTGAAGGAATGAAAATGAAGAGTCTAGATCCACTATTCACCATGCCAATAAAATAATTCTGTGTGTTTAGTCATTTCATGACCACCTAGATTTCATAATGAACATGGTGAAGGCAACTTTTTTTGCCAAACTTTATTATTCGCACGCTCGCATCAGTTTTCGGGTTCCCAGTGGATGTCATCCATATAATCAAATCAACATGGCCTTACCAACCGTCAGCAGTTTTGAAAGGACGCGTCCGGTGGTAAATAGTTGTGGTTGGTCGATTAAACGTGCTGTCGGTATTGGACAACTTCGTTAGTATGCGTGTGCGCAAACTTTATTATCGGACGATTTGGCTACGTATATGGAACATATCAACTCCGGTCAATTCATATTTGGGAAGCCATCTTTCGAAGTTCAAGGGCACCATGTTGAAAGTCATGATGTGGTTGAACTTGCTACTGGAAAAGTAGTAAATGTCTGCATTAAAATGTTTCAAAAGGTCAAAATTCATCCTTAATGATATCTAGCTTTATTCTTGCCATAACATATAACGTTATAGTTATATAGAAAGGTTTCACGAATTACAGGTTTCAACTTTCTATTGTCTTTCAAAATCAATATATACATTTTTAATTATGTGACCTGCGTTAGCTAAAACTTGACTTTATCAGGAAATACGCAGTAAGCTTGCGTCTTCCTGTTGTTTTGTCGTTGAACATGTGACTAGTTTCACTCTCACTGAAAGCTGGTTTCACCGGGAACTAATCTGAAGGACTTTGACTTCCGAAGCCCCGAGTAAAAATATACAGGAGGAGGAAGTACAGCAAGCTGTGAGCGACAGGGAACAGATTCCGTCTGGGGGAACAGAAACTGGGCCTTCCTCGAGCCAATATCGGAAGAAAAATGATCTTATTATCTTTGCCAACTACATAGATTCTGTACATGTGCTTCATTTCTTAGTCTTGCGTATCAGTTCAATTCCTTCTTTTTACTATATATACATAGATTACGATTAAAGTAAGGAAGGAAGGATTGACTAAATGAAATGTGTTGACTTCCTATTACAGAGGTCAACACAAGGTCAAAAAGAATGTGCTTTCCCATGTCAGGGCCGCCATGTTGGCCGGTTAAACTTTGAAGAGCCAGGCTTGTGTATTTGCATAGATATAATGTCATAATTATAGAACTGATATAGAATTACTGAATTACTTGTCATAATTACAGAACTGTATTCATGTATAGAATTGTTAATTTACTCGAAAACTTTCAGGTTTGACCATACAACATGGTGGACAATGACGTCATAGTCACGTGAGGGCAAACCCCCTATTGCATCACGCAGAAGCATGTCGATACCGACACACAGATCTAGCTAAAAGTTGTCCCCGAGAGTTGCAACGATAGACCACACCGAACAGTTCTTCATGGCGTTATTTTTGTCCTGTCTATTTTAGCCCACATGTGTTTTATCGCCCACGGTGAAGTTGCTGATGATACTGACATTTCATCTTCCACACGCAGACAAGGTTAGTGACATAACCTGAGTTCAAGGGGACGTCTGAAAAGTTATAATACCCTCCACAGACGATATCAATTTTGCTTGAGGTACGGCCATATCCCTCCTAGCCTAACAAAACAGGAAGGCTTATATTGTCACAGTAGGGGTATATTTATACAAATTGAAAGCATTTATATATTTGTAATGATAATGGAACAAGATGATATACATTTCACTTTTTGGCCCTTTCTTCATGTATGAAAAGTCTGTATGTTACTGTCAGAATGTAGCAAACATGGGCCACTATGAGCGCGTTCCGTAACATTTGTGCCCAATTTACCGTGAAATGTATTATATTAACCTTGTACGCCGCAGAGCAGGGGTCAGTCTCGCCACATTTGTCGTAAATTTGCCGTGGAGTCACCCCGCGAGCTCTATAAGGCCACAGCAAGTAAATTTTATGGATGGCATCCTCCACAGACTCCAAATTTAATGCGATAGGGCAAAAAAAAAAACAAAGCGGGCCAAAAAACTATGATGCCCTAACTGTGCTTGGTGGCAACTCTACGATAGAAAATACAGTTGAGAGGACATGCTAATGAAAACTGACAGTGTAGACATCTATGATCATCTATAGTGACGTCTGACCTTCATATGTGTCTGTTATTACTGGAGAGAGGAATGTAAAATGTCAAAATAGCAGTCACACCCACTGTTAGAATGTCAGTAGCTTTCGGGATTTAAACTTAAAACACATGGTCTGTGAAAACATTGTACGTATTGTCATAATTATTCTGTCTCTTATTAAATGATCTGTCATATCAGTAAACATAGCGTGACGCCATGCAGTCTCTGTCGTCTGTGTTTTATTACCACACTGTCTCGCGCAATGGACCAGCGGGGTAATGAGTTGTAATGAAATATCGATTATTTCCGATTGAAAGTGCGCAATGTTCGTATCCTGGTACTGATTCTAATCCTTCTTTCCGTTTTCGAGGTACTTGCTGGGGTCATTCATTCATCCATTCTACTCCATTCATTCATTCATTCATTCATTCATTCATTCATTCCCCTTGACTCTCTCTCTCTCCATGTCTGACACACAGCCTATCTGATGATGATGATGAATGGTTTATTATGATTGTCATAATCAGTAATCAAAAACATTTCACAGCCTCAGACTCAATTGCAGACTTTTTCTACAGTTAAGGTAAAAGTAACTAGTGCCCTCCTAGATATTTACAAAGTATCGTTTATGTAAATTAAACACAAAATCACATTCAATACTAATTCAAAACAGGTACATTTTGGTACATATAAGTCTGTCTCTCACTCTCACTTACACTCTGACATTGAAGCTGGCGGGTCTCTGAAGTCCAAAGTCATTGTAGTAATCATGACGGCCCGTCAGCTATGGTTCTGCACGAACCACACATGGTGAGGTCTTCACGGGTATACTACACATGGTAATGGTTTAGAATGTCGGCTAAATATCATGCTTCTGTCTGTGCTTGTTAGCCCCGCTATCTTTTCTTGCTTTGGCTTGTTAGTCTGTATTTTGTTGGTTTTCGATAGAAAGGGTAACTCTAATGAACTTTGCTAAACAAAACTCTGTTTCCCCAAGTATAATCGAGATTTTGGAAAATATCTGACTCCGAATCTGAATTATTCACATTTTAATGTATGGCAATCCACCTAGCGGCTTCCTTGTAAATTGCTACATCAATTACATTATACAGCCTTGCTTACATGTGTATGTGTATTTACATACTTACATATTCTGGATATCTCTCTATACATTATAGATCTGTGGTTAAATACTCGTACCATAGTTATATCTGTATCTGTCTGTTGGTATATCACACCCACCTACTACTAGTATTATATTAACCTATGTATAGTGTTGTATATATCGTATTCTATCTAAACCTGTACATACGGAAACAGGGCTAGGCGTCTAAAATGTTAACGTTCTCAAACGTTTTCTTCTAACAAATTTTGATTTTCTATATGCAATTGATTTATTTCATTTTCTAACATGCAAGAAAGGGTCACTATGTAGAAGCGTTGTCTCTTAGTCTTTCTTATTGTCTACAATAGTCTCATTTAAGGGACGCCTTGTTCTATACTTCCCCCTGAATCCGTGTTCTTCCCTCTGTGCTTTCCGTAGGCCATGTCGCGGGCCTCTTTTTCTCCTTCTCTACCTTTGTTGATTCCTTCTTCAAACCTGTGGCCTCCTCTAGGGTGAAGTAGTAGTTGCCGGTGTCTTCGGGAGGATCGTCTTTGGTCTCTAAGGCAGGCTGATGTGTCTGTCTTTTCTTCATGGACTTGTCAACCTTGGCGTACATCTGATCAATGGCGTCATCCGACGGCTTCTGGCCCTCTTGCGGCTTTGGCTGGATCTGCAGTTTGCTCTCGCCGATGCTGGTGTAGTAGTCCTCTTCGTTAGGCGGAGTGTGGTACAGGCTGTCGTCGCCGTCTTGGTCGGCAGGTGGCGTGTCGTACAGGTTGTCACCACCGTCTTGGTCGACAGGTGGTGTGTCGTAGATGTTGTCGTCTTCGTCCTTAGCGTTTTGGCGTTCTGGAATGACGGCGTAGACATCGTCGTCCACGTCCGGCGGGTCGCTCGGTGGCAGTTCGGTGTCGTCCCAGTTTGTCCTCGCGGCCTCCAGCTGGGCGAAGGGGATCCACTCCCTCTCGTCGCGGGACGAGCTTCTCGGCAGCGAGGCTGGCGGGCGGTTCTTCCCGAGAGGCAGGTCCGAGAGCGGGATCAGCTCCGTGCCTCCTCTCGGCTCGTCGCCCGGGGTGGGCGGGCGCGAGACGTGGCCGCTGTCCGTGCTGGGTGTGCCGGCGGACTCCACGTCCTGGTCTTGCCGCTTCTGCTCCAACCTGCCACGCCGTCTCCTGGAAACAAGTAACTGAAAGGTCAAGGCTCGATCACACTATAATGTCCTTGATCATACTTGTCGTGCGACCGCACACAGACGATGGATAGTCCTGCGTGTGCCCCACAAAATTCAGCTATCGTTACGGAAAAGGTTGTCTCGGGTTCTTGTCGGCGACTGGTTCTGTCACAGCCTGCTTAAAAATCATACATCAAAATCGTACGACGAATAGGCCACACCGTTAAAAATCCATGACCAGTTGGTATCTGAGTAGCCTTATAGCTTTACTGAATATTTTCTTCAGGTAGACGAGATATGATAAACAAGTAAATTACCACACTGTACCACTCCTTAGTAGTTTTATGCATGACAACGAAGTGTAGATGACTTATGTTGTTGAACTCACCCAACCCGGCAGGCCAGAACGATAAGCGCGACTCCCAACAGAATCAGGAAGATAATACCGCCAACAACGGCCGCAGCCATGACATCGACTGAAGAAAAAAGTAAACTTTAGGCTCAAACAAACAAACAAACAAACAAATAAGTAAACTAATTACTAACGATATATTCATTTGTGAAAGCTCATTCTTATAGATAATCAACATTGTGTAAGAACAACTTAATTCCATGTAAAAATCTGTTAAAGCATAATGTGTAAAGCATAAAAGTATAAAGCATAATGTGTTTCATACGTCATAACATATTCTACATGTAGATCATCATGATATGTACTGATTTATACATACTCGACATTCCTGGCTTTGGAGCGGTCGTGGTAGTGCTTCTATTGGTTGCCATGGTGGCGGTTGCCATGGTGACGGTCGCCTTGGTGACGGTTGTCATGGTGACACTGCTCATTCCAGGTGTTGTGTTTTGCGTCGTCGTTGTGAAATTCGTGGTAGCTACAATTAAAAAAGCATGCATTGAAGCTGAGGGCGAAATTGGTGTAGCCCCCCTTATAAAAACGTTGACAACTAATACTAGTGCTGCTACTTCATGTTTTAATGCATTGCTGGTCCCCCTGTAGTTAGAACTTGCAATACTGATGCTCATTATTTTAGGACTGCTAATAGAAAAACCCTCTACTACTACTACTAGTAGTTCTCCAGCACTTCTAGCATTCCTGATAATACTGCTCCTCTAACAATTCTATTCTACAATTTAAACTATTGTACTCCTCCTCCTGCCTTTTTTGACCACAATTGTGACTACTTTTTACTGTCAATGGTCTGACAAACTTGTATGTCTTCCATTCTGACATAACCAGAAAAAACAACACACCTCGCCTAGGCCTCAACACTCTGTTGTGCATACACTAATCGCAATTTAAGGTTAACTTGCCTCGGGCGCGATTTTGTATCGTGATATGATTTGGAAGGCGCAGTTGCCTTCATTACAGAGAACTGGCGCTCAAAGTTTTGTCTATTTACTAGTAACAAGGCTTTAACGTGGGAGGATAATTTGGGGAGTGGCAAAATCGGTCTTAGTTGAGAGAAAAAAATGCTACAAGAACACTGTATGTGACCTTGTAGACAATGGTCACAGATGTCTGTTTGTTGACAATGACACGATGCATGGAAAACCAAAGCAAGGCGAATATTTGATACATGACGTACGACACAGGCATCATGGCTGGTTCACTTGAGAATTAGATAATCATACACGGATCATCATTAAAACTACACAATGCAGTATCTAGTGTCAAGAACAAGGTGGGCGGAACTGGTGACGTCCTGGCGGCCATGTTTTGGCCTGGGGCGGTGACAGCCACAAAGAACAACAGACTTTGGAATCCCAAACACGCCTTGGCGTCCACAAGTGCAAGAAGGAAGTAGACATACGTTAATCGTATCTATATTGGGTAACGCCTTCTACTTTTGTGCTTTTTGTATCAAGAATGACATTTACAACAAACTGTCCACGTCGGGAAAGAAAAATCTACCTCACACAGAAAGAAATAAGACACGAAATGGCAGAATGCGTTTGTAAACACATGAATGATCAGGTAGTTACATAAGGTTGACGATTGGACTGTTTACACTGATAATTTGCGCTGACAGATTATCTAAATCGTGCTATGAACTTACGACCATGATTACAAACACCTTCCCGTTCACATTTCAAACATGAGAACATTTTACAACCGTCGTCGGCCCCTTTTTTTTGCCCAAACTCATGATTAGCCCTACTTGATTTTACACTGTATTATCTAAATTGGTGTTTAGTAATTAGGAAGTTAATTTTCATTCTATACACTTTTCCTTTTGTACTATGTTCAGAAGTCGTTGCCATACATTGTGCCTTGTACAATAGTCGTGCACTAAAGTTCTTCTACAGAACGAGGGTTTTGGAGCATGGCCTACGTGACAACGTGTATGCGGGGATAGAACAACAACACGACAAATACGCAAAGACACATACCTTGAGCGAGCGACTCGCCTAAAGACAGAGTAAGTAACACCAGGAGAAGGAAGACGTGGACAGTTGGTCCTTCCATTGTCTTAGATCTTGTACTACAGAAGCAAGAACGTCTACTGAAGGAAACCGTGCAGCGACCATAACCTTCAACCACCACGCGTGCCTGCCAAGCTGGTGTGCTACACCGAAAGGCGGTTATACTGGTTATATAGATAAAGATACAGACCAATTATTAGCTTCTGACTATATATAGCTGCCCACAGCCCTACCTTCGGGCTTGTATAATTAACCCATTTGACCGTGTGGTACCATCTCAGCATGGTACTAGTCAGGTTCATTCAGGACGATTATCTGAGGAATGACCCAAAAAAGGAACTAGAAACATTTCACTACTGAAATGTGAATAGAAGTGAAACCGTTCGTAATACAATACAATGTTAAGTTCCTCTGTGGCAAACTAAGGCTGCACGTGTAACTGCCAGAGGCCTAGGATGTATTGTCTGACAAGCCAAACAGAGAGGACATTGAACCACAATTAAGGGTTGAATCGCCTACAGCAGTGGCGTACAGAACTCCAGTCAGTTCCCACCTTCCAACTGAAAATAGGTACACTACCTTTTGGCTTATACAATTAACGTTTTTAGCCGTCTGGTACCATCTCCTCATGGCACTGACACAGAGATTGATCTTTGGGAATCAGAGAAGACAGAAAATGAACTTGAACCCTGTGTATTTCTTTCCCGCTTCCTACCAAGGCTAGGAGTCTTTGCTATCAAGTCTTTGCTTATACCCTTATTAATATAATAATAATGAAATATGAAATGAAATACCTTAATTGTACATTCGTGCCACGACGGGCTAGGTACAGGTCAAGACTTAACAGACACATAACAAATATAATTAAGAGAAGGGTGTGCCCGTCCTTAGAGCAAATCATTATCATCCCTCAATTTGCAATCGTTCGACGATCATACGATGTGCGTCATCAGGTCATCAACCTCATTATGTTAATGTTTACAGGATTAGATTTATCATTTTCTAAAACTTATCATCATCAAATTTTCCAAGTATTTACAATGCATTTTGCAGGAATGATAGTTTCGTTGACATGCATGTTGATTCCTGTTTTATATTATATAATTGTATAATTAGAGCCAGAATGGACTCGGTAGAAGCAGGCTTGGTTGCCGACCGTATTAATATGTGTTGTTTTTTTATTGTGTTGTATATCAGTTAAATTGTACATCATATGGAAAATGACTTGTTTGCACGGTTCATCCAGTTAAAATACTGCAGTTTGTTGGTTTCGTATAGCCTTATTTTCCAACTTTCCAACGGTGACTCTATCAAATGCAACACTGACTTCATTATCAACTCCTTTAAGTTACGATATTACCTCCCACCATCTGCTTGGTTTTCATTCATATGGATCGACAGCGAAAAGTTCACTTCTGCAAAGGCCGTGACCACTTCTGCAAGCGATCAGCTGATCGCAAAACCACGTTTTGACGTCTAACTCAAGAATGAAGAACATTTGATGGAAGGAAATAAGTAGGAATAGAATAAAGACCGTGAGGAGTATACTAAGAAAACAAGGAGGCCGAGCAATGTCAAACGTTTCATTTTTCTAAAATTGAAAAAGCGGATATTCACCCCCTATCACACCCCCGTTTTGGAACCCCCGTTACGAAAAGGTCACTCATTCCCAGATTTCGGCATTTGGCGAGTTGGTAAACGCGATGGGCTCTTATGGGGGTTTTACTCCGGGTCTTTGCTGCTCTTGTTTTTGACCTTGAGGCTCACCCAAACTACCTAAACATCACAAATTTGTCGGTAAAGAACTGATTTACTCATACATCAGTTCATTTTGAAACAAAAAATTCCTAGAACGGCTTGCACTAGCGGCTGAATACAGAGCTTTTTGTCAATATTTTCCAGTGTTCACGAAACAGATTATCTAAAAAACGTACCATTTATTGTACAAAATAAAATTATACTTCCTTTACACCAATTAAAATAATTAAAATATTTGCAATTAGATTGTTGAACTACATGTATTTACAAGTCAAGTTAATATTATAAATCATTAGAAGGTACAACAAATTAGATGTTCGAGATATATAAAAAATATTTAAATTCATAAATTGCATGTCGTTATATTTTCATGAGAATATTGGGACCAAATAGACTGCTTCATAACAGTTGTTCATTACATATTAGTCTTATTAAACATATGAAGTTCTTGCATGTTCTTTGTTATGTTTACCTCGGAAAGCATTTTATTTTTTGCTCTGTTTCCCTTCTTATTCTCCGAACAAATAAGGTCATTGACCTGAACCAGACGTCTATCACTATATGGTAACAAGCGTTGGGTTACATCATGTTGCAATTTTATAGCAGGAGGGATTTAGACTCCTGTCACCATATAAGATGAATGTGTTTGAATAGGAATTAACAGAGCAGACCATATGCGAAGGTAAGCAGTCTGCATTTGCTTTGCAAAAGTTATCTTTTTAGTTTATGATGCTTGTTTACGCGGATGATGTCGACGATTTGAAATAGAGTTTCCCTAAGAGGTGTGTTTTGGTTTCTGCCGATTGTTTGACGACGATCTCCCTGTTTTCCTCAGTCAGGTTTGCCTCGACCTTGGCCACGTTTCTCCGTACCCGCTCGAACATGGTGGCCACGTCCTCGTCCCGACCGTACCTGTTGAACGCCCGGACAACTTGCTGGATCAGCACGGATCTGTATCAGGAAGACATCGTGTCATATGGTTACCTACAGTTGAAGAGGATACATAATAATACACCTTTTTTTCTCCTTCTAACCTCAAATGTTGCCAAGAAAATGTGTATGAAGCAATGAAGCAAGGAGTGGCGCTAAAGTGGGTTTTCATTAAATAATCGCAAAGTTGAATGAGAATGAAAGAATGCTTGTGACGTAGTCTTCCTGTAGTAGATTACAGTACATGTATTTAAAAAGCAACGTTGTCTAACATTATCTGTACTTCACGCTTTTACATTCATCTTCGTAATATAATAATTCACCTAAAACGACAAACAGTTGCCATACACATTAGCCATAGGTGAAGTAATCCACACTTTACCCTTGTTCGCGGCTGCGCAATGACACCTTTCCTTCTGCGCATGCCCATGTTACAATGTAGTCCACATCTGTAGGAGCCAGCTTACCACACACCCCGGCCCAGTCTACCTGGAACTGAGAATAAAGGCAGAGTGTGTCATCATCGTGGCTTCTGTTGTGTTATTATGTTAACGTTTATGTTTTTGTTTTATGTTTTGAACAATGCAGTAGTTTCTTAAGTTGGACCACGTGAAGGTAAACATGATGTTACCTTTCATGTTACTATATCAGCATACTTTTTGTCTGGCTTTCGTGTATGTGTGCGTTTACGTACGTAAGAGAGAGAGAGAGAGAGGGAGAAAGAGAGAGAGAGAGAGAGAAACGATGTATGTACAGTCTACATATTTATATTGTGTTTTGTTTCGAATTCGAAGTGCTTAAACACCATACCGTGGCGGTTTCCGTAGTTGGTTCTTCCTCCGATGAAGAGTCGGAGTCGCTGTCCTGCGGGTCCCGCATGGCCACCGCGTCAGTCGCGTCATCCACTCCCCACCTCGCCTTCCTCACGCCGACATCTTTTTCACCTAAAACAAGCAACGACAATCCTTGATTTGATTTGATTTGATTTATCGAAATTGAAACAGTACAATACACGTGGAACACAGGCAGCAGTTGCTGGTGTCGTGTCCCACACATAGAAACAAATACAGGACAGGACATTACTCATTTTCCATTGAATTAAGTGAAGAACGTCGTGTAAAGTACCTTTCCCAAGGGCACAAAATCGGTGACATGTCAGGACTCGAACCCGGGACCTCTTGGTTCCGAGTCGAGCACTCTGCCGTTACGCCACACGACCCCACATCTTTAGATTCAGATTTTTATTTCCAATGACAGAGCACAAGTACACGAATAAAATCAATATTACCCGAAATGCGTCATTGATCACAAAGCAGCCGTTAGTGTTAAAAATTTAAGTATACACATCATGATACATTATAGAATAGAATCCCCACAGTCAGAATAATCTCAACTTAACTATTAAAAGCTAGATTCGACAACCCCATGGCCATACATTGTACCTTCCCCACATTATATTATTTGTAATTTGCATAATATATAACCTAAAATGAGACTGAGAGAGCTCTACGTCTTAATATTAGATGAATTGTTAACAAGAAGAATCAGAAAGGCAAAGACTATGCCTGCCAAGCCGCTGGTAGACAATTTAATTAAGCTCACGTTTGCCCCACGTGTAGCAAGCTCGAAAATTCAAGGCTTCTGCTTTCCCTTCTTCAAAGACCGCTTTTTTTCCTTCTTCAAAGAAATTCTTGGGAAATTATTGGAATTGCCTCTGCTGTTATGCGGCCAGCTCCAGACTATTTAGTGATTACCATAGTAAATATTCAATGCTATGACTAACCGCAGTGTTGTTGCTAGGCCTTTTAAGCATAGCCCCCTATGCTGTGATTTGGGCCCCTATATGCTGTCTTTCAACCAGTATAGGGGTGTTTTAGGGGGAGAACCTTCATAAGTAATGCAAAAAATGAAAGTATAACTTTAGAATGAAGCTATAGGAAAGGGAAAACCTTAACTTCACAAAATCCGTACCTCATTGAGCGAGAAATAGTGTCTCGGGGGATATGATTTTTTTCGGCTCAATGCACGACCTGCGCCGTGAAAGTTGCCCCTCTGTACCTGACCCCTATACTTTGAAAAAAATCCAGGTGAGAGCCCTGTAAACCTGAATGTTCTACTAACCTTAGCCTGGCTACCGGACCTATTTTAGCTCCCGAGTCCCATATTCCTCTATATTTGCGGAGAGGCATGATGTAGGACTCGGGAGCTGAAATGCTGGTAACCAGGCTAGTCTAACCTCACTTTACCTGAAGTCCACAGTGCGCAAAACACACACCCGTTTTTAATTGGGGTATAACAAAATCTAAAAAGGAGGAAAACTAGACAGGAGAGACAAGAGTTTTTTTAATCTTTTTTAGCCAGGAAAATAAATATCCCAGAGTTCATCGCGCTCTTAACCTTACTTAACTACCGTAGTACCGATCCGTTCAGAACCTTTCACGTGATTGGTCGACGTTTTTTTTTATTCCTACGAATTTTCATATATTATGCAAATTTGTTCTCTCATCGAATTGTAGCTAAACGCCAGACGCTGTGACGTGCGCCTGCGAGCGCGCTGCTCTTTTCTTGGATGTCCAGAAAAACTCGTTCCGACGTCTACGCCGGACAAGACACTCGAAATCATCGGAAGATCCAAATTATCTCTGAGGTGGGTTCTAATTTTTACTAGCACACGTATATATAACAGTGGTTCGAAAAATGCTGGAAATGGATGTCTTTGTTACTTATATCAACGTTCTTAAAGAAATCCTTGCTAATTTTGTTTCTATTCCATGCTCATTTGTCACACAATTTTGCTAACAACAATTAGGAATCAGTTTTGTAAAAATCCGACTTTCTAGTAAGCAAATACCTGATTGGGCGTAACCCGTAACACGCGACATTATGAGTCTGGTGTGACGCAGTTGTGTTTTTTCTTAATAATCTATGTCTTTTTACGACTATGGCTATTTCGATGGTAGGCGTGATCAAGATGTAGAATTTGTGGTACATGAAGGTTTTTACCTATTCCTGATAATTCCCTGGAATTTTGTAGTAAGGTTACAGCAAGACGGTTGTAACTAGTGGTCCCAATTTGGGGTAGCGAGTTTTTTTTTATTCCAACATTTTCATTGTGCAGAAAAACGTGGTCTGACGTCTATACCGGACAAGACACTCGAAATCATCCGAAGATCGGAATTATCTCTGAGGTGGGTTTGAATTTTTACTAGCACACGTATATACATATAACAGTGGTTCGTAAAATGCTGGAAATGGATTTGTTCCTATTTACATAAACGTTTTTAAAGAAATCCTTGGTAATTTCGTTTCTATTCCATGCTCATTTGTCACACAAATATGCTAACGACAGTAAAGAATCAATTTTTTTTAAAAATTAGACTTTTTCGTAAGCAAATACCTGATTGGGCGTAACCCGTAACACGCGACATTATGAGTGTGGTGTGACGCAGTTGTGTTTTTTCTTAATATTCTATGAATATCTTTTTACGGACGTGGCTATTTCGCGATCAAAATGTAGAAATTGTGGTACATAAAGGTTTGTACGTATTCCTGATATTTCCGGGGAATTTTGTAGGAAGGTTACAGCAATACTGTTGTGTCCCTATCAATATTTGGGGTAGTTTTTTTTTCTATTCCAACATGTAATCATAAGACGTGGTGGCGACACACTCAAGCTTTTTCAACTTATTTTTATGCCGCCACCAACATTACTCATTTTCACCTGAGTGAAGTGAGGAAAGTCGTGTAAAGTACCCTTCCCAACAGCACGAGATCGGTGGCATGGCAAGGTTCGAACCCAGGACCTCTTGGTTCTGAGACGAACACTCTGCCGTTACCCCACATGTTCATTTGCGGATTAGAAGATATATAAGTATATCATACCCTTATAGTAATGTGGATTTTGGCACACTTCTATGTCACTTTGTGAAATATGTGTTTTTCTCCTCGTATTAAAGCTTGCCACTTACCAAGGCCACTCACCAGGCTGAGGAGACCTACCGAAGTACAAGTACAAGTAAGTACATGAAAGCTTGCATTTGTTCAGATTTGGTCTAATTTTACTCTTTGAATTTTGTGAACAAAAGTACAGTACGAATCCAGAATATTTACGGTTCATGTCATGAGGTTATCCATTTATAGGACCGAACAGAAAAAACTTCAAGTATTTAAATCATAACAGTGGATTCATTTCTATACCACGGTTTACTAGTGGGTAGCTCTCACATTCGACATTCTGCTGTTAGTGCTACTTCGTATGCCCGCGTCATAGACCTAGGGGATCGTCCATTAATACTGTCTTCTGCCTTAGAACGATATTATGTAAGATTTTCCACTATTCTAGACATCGTTGTTTTACACATTTTCTCGTGCTATAAGCCTACCTGGGTTCATAATGACATTTGGGGAGTAAAAGATCAACGTCGTTACGCCGCAAAAACGTGTTGAATTCGACGCTGCCGAAGATATACGTATATACCCGAACGAAAGCCGCTGTTTGTTTACATTCTTTTTAGGAGCCTCCTAAAAATACAGCGGGCCTGCAGTTGGCGTCACTTACTCTCGCGCTGCGCTGAGTCGCCAGAAAAGCGAAATAGCGACGCTGATATGTTGAAATTTATTGAAAATGACAATATAGATGAGAAAATTTCAATTATTCATATTTACAGTTTTGGTGCATAAAATCTTACATAATGTCGCTTTAACAGCCCGACAGTAGATACAGCGGGTAATTCGGCTTCAAAAATTCTGTTGCTCTACTTCATTTTCTATTCCTAGTGGCTATATTGTACAATTTTGGGGAAACGAAGATGTAACGTATTTTCTGAGGCGCTTTTACTAACTCCTGATTTACAGTTTCTGTCCAAGGCTTTCTGCGGCAAAAGGAATTTAATTTGTAAATAATGAATGATAACGAAGTTGGTGTTTCATGAATAAAAACCGCCTCATGCTTGTTTACCCAGGGTTAGGGATGATGTAGTAGACTTCTTGTTCCCGACAGTAAATACAGGGATCAATTATATGTCCATATGGGATGGGTGACAATAAGTCCCCATACACAATAATAAAATACATTAATTTATTCATTCATATAAATGCTGAATCTTTCAAATAAACTTTCAGGTGACTCCTGGCGACAAAGGCAATAGGTCGGCCTGCCCCCTAGCGGATCCAGAGCGACCAGCAGTTTGCGGCAAGAACTCTGTAGAACATATTGTAGCTTCCTAGCTCATGCAAAGACCGCTTACTATATCCTAAAACATCATTAGCCTGAGATTTACTGCTAGGTCTTTATAGAGTGTTGTAGAAAGCTGTAAAGAGGCTGAAATGGCTGGCGTGAAGCTGTCCCTTTCTTTCCTCTTCCTCCTTTCGTTTGACCCGCATCAGGCGGGCCCGTCCTGTGCTGGTCTCTGTGAGGTAAGGCGCACTGGGTTCTGCCCTAGGCTGGGTGGGATCATGATCCTCACATCATCAGGAGGCAGACAACTGCCTTGTGCCACGTGCAACACGACCGGGCAGGCAGATGAGAATCCGCTCGGGTGTCTCCCGGGCGATCTGAAGAAGCTGCAAGTGGCGGGGCACTCCGACAGAAGCGGCGAGCTGAAACCACTGCCCCGCCTCGGTCAGCTTGTCACGCTGATCCTCGGGCCCGGAAACATCTGCACAGTTGGAAGAGGAGCGTTTGCGCCTGTGCCCGACCTCTTGGCACTATCCATGGAAAAGAGCGCCATCAAAACCGTGGGAAGCTGGTTTGACGTGATCACCAAGCTAGAGACGCTCTCGCTGTCTTGGAATGAAATCGAAGAAATCAAGGAGAATGCTTTCCAGCCACTGAGACGCCTGGAGTATCTTGAGCTGAGGCATAACCGGCTTCGTGCTGTAGAAGAATCCCACTTCTCAAGCCTAGCCAGCCTCAGGCGTCTGCACCTCAGCCACAACAACATCTCACGCATCGCTGGGAAGTCGTTCGACCGTCTTTCTCGCCTGGACACGCTCTCCCTGGATCACAACAAGCTATCGTTCCTCAGCCCAGATTGGCTACAGGGGTTATCCACTCAGGCTATCAACCTCGACAACAACCTGATCGCCACCATCCCTGCAGAGTCGTACTTTGCCATGCGCGGAATTCGAGACCGCATCTCTATCAATGAGAATCCTTTCCGTTGCACCTGTGCGCTGGGTAGTAGGTTGACGTCTACGAGTACGATTAGTCGTTTCACCCCCCGGGACAGGCTGCAGTGCAGCTACCCACCTGGCCTCTCGGGGAGAAAGATAGCCGGCGTTTCGAGGGGAGAGATGCCGTGCCGGTCACCCACAGCCAGAGTGTCACGCCGAGACCGCGGAACCACTCTCGTGTGTGAGGTCTTCTGGGAGAAGCAGCCGGAGATCGAGTGGCTGGATCCCAGAGGGATGGCCGTTGGGGAAACACAACCACTCCACCAATGTGGCGGCACTCTGACCACACGCCTGGAGCACGAGTACCCCACCACCCAGTCTCCTGAAGGAGGAAAGGCACACCCAAGAGACGCCCTCAGCCTACCCTACATCGCCAGGTCCACCTCCACCCTCCACATGAACCAGCAAGCCTACCGGTGCTGGACGGTGGGCAGCTTCCGGTGCGTCGTGAAGTCTGGAACAACAGGCAACGTCGTTGCCAACCTGCCGCTGACCAAGTCAAGCAAACAAGACTCGAGGCACGACCACACCGTGACGACAGCGGCAGGCAGCGTCGTTGCAAACCCGCCGCTGACAGCGGCCGCCTACACCTCAACACCTGCCCAGCGGAACGTAAGGGTGACGGAAAGGGTCGTCAAAACCCCGTACGAGACCCTCCGACAGGATGGCGCTACTCCGGCAGCTGATAAGGCACAACGGCACACCGTGATGACTGCCGTCTTCACCGCCAAACCTACCCGGCAGAACGGAAGGATAACAGAGAGTAAAACCAGGGACAAAGACGGCCAGCAAGACGGCAAAACTCCATCAGATAATAACCCAGTGAATGTCGTGACGATGGTATTCATCTACGTAATAGGAGGTATCTTGGCTGTGGGAGTTCTCGACAGGTTATTGGCCCGTTTCAAGAAGTGGAAAGAGAAGCGAAAAGAGCGTCAGGACTTACACCGCAACGCCGCCGCGGCGATCGGAGGCATGCCTCTGCAAAACCCCCAGCCACCGGCCGCAGCCCCCGCGACTGGGAACCCTGTACCTCCTCAACCCGCGAACGATGACATCCCAGACGACACACTCATTCCTCCGTATGCGGAAACGACTCGTCTGGAAAACCCCATGTATGGCGCAGACGTGACGGGGCCAAGAGGTGCGACATCGGCGTCCTCAGACCCTCGCCCAGGACCCAGCCGGCCCGCCAACTTCAGGGCCAGGTCACAGCCAGGGGGCTCGGGCACAACTCGGGCGGGGAATGCCCCAGCTCCACCTCCCCGTTCCGACAGGCAAGACGTCGACACCAGCGACTCTCACTACTACCCACCAGGCACGGACACGACTCGGCCACAAGACGTCCCGGCCCCGCTTCCCCGGACCAACTGGTACGTCAACTCTAACGTGTCCTCACAACCACGAGGCTCGCAGGGGGCGCAGGCAGAGAGGATCCCGGACCCACTTCCACGGACCCACACCTACATCAACTCTAACGTCTCGGCACGACCGAAATGCATGGGAATGGCTACTACGTCACGACAACGTGGAGCCTCCTACGACAACCGTGGGGCCTCCTACGACCCACAAGCCTTGAGGATGAAAGAAGAGAACGTCGAAGGTCCTAACCTTTACCTCGACCTGAACGGCCCACCACGACTCGCTGGCTCGGAGATGCCTCAAGCAGAAGAAGACGTGCCGCCCCCGGTTCCCCGGACCAACAAATACGTCAACTCTAACGTCACAGCACGACGTTTGGGAATGGCTACCGTGCACCGAAACCGAAGTGCCTCATATGACAAAGGCAGGACCTCCCATGTCAACCGTAGGGCGTCCTTTGACAACCGTAGGGCCTCGTACGACAAACTACGTAGGCCCTCCCGCGACAAGCGTCGAGCTTCCTACGACAACCCAGGAACTTCCTACGACCCACAAGACTTGAGGATGGACGGAGAAGAGGATGTCGAAGGCCCCAACTTTTACCTTGACCTGAACGGCCCACCACGACACGCTGGCTCGGAGATGCCTCAAGCAGAAGAAGACATCCCGGCCCCGCTTCCTCGGACCAACAGATACGTCAACTCTAACGTCACAGCACGAGGCTCGAGGATACCGAGACAGATGCCACCAGCCCGACCCTCATCGCACCCCCAAGGCTCGGACCAAGAAGAGGAAGTCGAAGGTCCCAACATCTACCTTGACCTGAACGGCTCATCACGTATTGCTGGCCCTTAGCTACAAAACCAACATCAACTCTATACTGATACTGGACAAAGGCCCCAACTCGGAAACTAATATCTACTACCAAACTGATACATAACCATTCAACCTGAGACCCCGTTGGAACATAATTTGTCATATATAATGGCAAGTTGGCATCTCGTGAGTGCCCAATTGTCAATTGAGTCAGTACACTGTTAAAAGTTGTGTCCCCTCCCCCCAAAAAATTCTCTTATTATTAGGTTTCTCTTTCTCTTACTTTCTTCTCTCTACTACATACGCCAGCCCTTCAGCTTTTATTGTGGGACAGGACAATACACATGTTAAGCCTGAAAATCACATCATACGGACACTTAAGCTCCAAATTAGCCTACTTTTGGGAGACTATAAAACCAGACTTCTAATATGTGAACTCTAAGGTATCATAATGTTAAAACATTACCAAAGCTTCAGACATTTCATGAAAGGAAAGTTCTGCTACCTGTGGCCTACAGCAAGATGGGAGACCAAACCTGGAACGGAATAGGACTATGATTATGGATAACGATTCTGATTTGATGCCTTGAACTGTATTATATTTACTTTCTTAAGCTTTGTACATGTGGGGATTGTATGTTCCCAGTGTAGAAAGACATGGGTTCGATTCCCATCTCGTAAAACTGTCATTGCAGTGGTGGTCTATTTATTTCAGTGCTTGCTGAAACATCAGAATATGAGGAAAGCGCTAGCTGGGGTGGAGCTACAATGTAGTAGAGTTATCCATGAACAAAGGCTCTTCTTGTATTATGCCAAACGAAGTACATTTTATGTATGACTAATACTTTTGTAATGTATTTTGAAATAGGATCATGTAGTTCTTATGATCATATGAATTAGTATCTCGAAAAGGGACCGAAAAGAAGGTTCCTGTAAGAATGAAGATATTTTTCTATATGCCTTGCTGTTCTGGAGATGGAATGTTCAAGAAATATGTTCATTTAAAAGTCAATAATGAGACAATGTCTTTGCCAGAAAAGTATTTTGTGTGCAGAAAACATTAAGAATGAAGAACTTATGGTTCTTGATGTTGTATTATGGACATCAGAGGCCAATAAAATGGTCTAACTATGACTTGAATTTGTGGCTCCAGGTTTACTTAATTGAGGGACATCTAGACAGGCAGTGCAAGACCCACATTTTAGTCCAGAACTCCAGATCTTCCCATGCAGAATGTTGGATCAATATCAATCGCCCCTCCCACTTCATCAAAGTATCACAACTGTAAATAAAAGTTAGCCATTGACCAATCCAACCAGTGGGCGAAATTATGTTCAGGACAAAAGATACAAAAACCGAAAGTTCTGCTGCAGTACCAAGGTTAGCCATCAGGAGGCCCATATTTGACCTTGACCTTTGTTTTCCTAAGGCCTACCAACACACCAAATATCATTACAATCTATAAAAGCGTTCTGAAGTTATGCTGACCACAAGTATGCAGAAACACAGACACACAGACACACCAAAAACAATACCTCCATTTTTCATGGGGGTAAAAAAGAAGCACACCTCCTCTGCACATCTGCAGTATGAAGACCTTGGGACAGGCGATGTTGTCAGACCTGACGATGGGCCGGATGATGTCCTTGTATATCCCGACCCCCCTCCAGTCCGTCCCCATGGCCTCCTGGTCCTTACCGTGCGTCATCACGGACAGCAGCAGACACGTGGACTGAGAGTGGTTCTTGTTAATAAACTTCCTGATGGCTTCCTTCATTTCCTAAATAGAGAAGGCATTATTCAAGATTTAACACAACTAATAAAACTTAGTTTGAGTGGACATACCAACTATTTTTAAGTTTCTAAAAGTATAGCTAAGAAAAGAATAAGAAATAGTCATGCCTTAAGTACCAGTGTTATCAACCAGGGATTGAGGTGTTTAAGAACTCGTATTTTTCCTAGAACTATCGTAGACTAGAACCACTAAATATATATGGTTACTATAGTTAGATATGAGCAAAGGTTAGGTATAACGGGTCGTTTTTTTAGTAGCCAGATGCCACCCCATCGCGTACCTGCGAAACTGGTGTCACGTGAAGGTCGGTTATACCGGCTATACAAATACAGAAAATGAAATACCAATTCAGTCTTTTAAAAGACCGCTACATGATATAACACCAAGGTGGCTGAAAGTCTGTACCGTCCCGCGTCCCGTCCCAATTAAAGTTATCTAAAAACTCTAGTTCGAAACACAAAATGAAGCTACTACATTGTAGTACTTACGTTGGAATTGAGATCTATCTTGACCTTCACATTGAAGCCAAGTCTCTGTAGAACGGCCTGAAGTTCAGCACTGTCCTTCTCCATCCCCTTCCTGTTTCTGTTTGATTCCGTGGGGAACTTGATGTTGTTTATAATCAGTGCATGTCCCACATTTGGACGAATGGGGTAGATCTGCTCAAAAAGAAGTCACTGATAAGTTGTTTATTCATATGACATGGTGTCTATAAGTGCTTAGTGTCACTCAGTTTAAGGTCTTTAAGAAAGCAGTGTGACTTTGTCCTTGGAATTCGAATAGACAAATGACTATTTCAAGGAACTCACCGGTGGTGGACCCAAGGCGGATTCAGGCCTCTCAGTTGGCCGGAGTGTCATAGTCTGTATCCCCGCTGTTATGTTCACGGTCCCATCAACTGGCAGGCAAAACTGTACATTGTTAGCATAAGATCTCTTCTGTATGTGTTTTTATGTAACTTTGGTCAAACTTTTAACTTTCGATCCAACACAAGAAGCTAGACTGCGATCGATTCACTGAAAATACACAAATAGTGAACCATGGCCCTCAAAAGAGTAAGTTGTGCCTAGGTACTTTCAGGAAGTACCGCTCCATCACACATGTACATACCTGCCGCTGCACCTGCACTGTCCTGTACTGGGAAGTCTAGGGATTCTTCTGAACTGGAAGAACTTTGGTAGCTTCCCCTAGCTGTTTGACTTGGAACTGCAAACAATCAGACTGCAGGTAATGACATGATAAACACCATAGGTAGTAAACCTTCGACCAGACGGGAGAAAAATTAAAGACCAATCGAAGACAAGCCTGCCTATAAGCTAAACTAGACATGCTAGTAACTACGAGAGGAGTCGTTGGTTACCTAGTGCGATGCTCCCTTTGCGTACCTCCTCTGCCAAATCAACACGGCCGCACTCACGGAGAGCGCCGATTAGCTGCTGCTTCTAACATGAAAAGAAAACATGACAAGTTCTAACATGAAAAGAAAACAGGACGAAAAATTCACTTCTCGATAACAGGTGGGACATAACATAAAACGAGTTTGAAAGAATTTGTTTGTAACAGAAGTGTACATTCAACTCAAACTTTCAAAGAAATCCACAAATAGTAGAAAAGAATCTACACTTTTTAACCCCATGAAACACTGAAGGTAATTTGAATTATAGTACTACAGAATGACCGCATTGAAGCTAACCTTCTCTTCCGTGGTCCTGCCTCCTGCTCCCGCCCACCATTCCTGTAACATCGCCTGGATGGCGTCCTGTAAGTTGTGAGAGTACTGCGAGCGGAGAAGGTTGACTCGACTCCAGTCCACGCCCAGGAGCAGGCCCAGGGTGCTCCACTCCATCCCCAACTTGTTCGCCAAATTCACAGGAAAAACGTTTGGTCGACCTGTTATGTGCAAGAAAGATATCGATGTTCTTACGTCAAATGTTATGACCAAGACTAGATTTGAACCTTGTACTTTGTAGCGTGCCGTTCTGTGAGGTGTTTGTACTTTGGATTTAAGAAATGTAGGACAAAAGGCAGTTCTGAATGTGACAATTGCAAACGGTGGGACGAAAGGAAAATGCACGAACTGCAAACACTAATGTTGATCCCCTCCCCACACGATCGTCGCACCTCTTTACATGCACAACATTAACGTTTCTTCCGGGTAAAGAATCATGCTATTCTAAGATCCTTAAAGACATGTTCTAACCAAAAAGTAAGAGTAGCCCGGGCATAGCTGGCATATACGCTGGAGAAGTGGCAGACTAGGGAAGGAAAAACCATGAGGTTTTCCTTGTCAGAACAGTGTGCAAAAAACGACGACTAGACATGATACTCCCTATACAGATTTGCTGGTACATTTAAGGGATTCGAACCCCCGACCCTGCGGTGCAGAGGCAATACTCAAGCTAACAACAAAGACCACAATACGTACTGTTCAGAGAAGTAGACATACCTGCTGATGCCATGTTCTATTAGTTTTAGCGCCGATGCTGCCTGTCGTCTGGACAATGTAACCATCCGGTCCTGTTGTCATTCTTTCGACAAAAATAACAGCAGTTAATGTGAATGGAATCGTCTGTATTTACCTCTAAAAGCTACCAATACGCAACCCGGAAGTAAGTCAGCAGTAAACAACTTTTAGTACAAATGTAGGTTTCAACTTTGTACCACCTGTTAGACATGATTTACCTTTTTAGCGTCGACGACAGCTGAAATTCTACATTTTGGCGATTCACAACAACATTCCTTTCACTGAAAATGCCTCTTATTCAGGTTTAGATACACTTTTAGACCAGCTGGAAGTAGAGAAGTGCAGTGAAGGTCGTAGCTTTATGTAAACACTGAGCGTTGGTCCGCAATGCATCGTGGTCTATATGTTTGACCTGATGAGCTATGACGCGTTGTTGAAACTTGAGCAGGTTTTGTTTGTCATTAAAACACGTCAGTGCTAGTGGTGTCATGTAGCCGGTGTTGAGCCAAATCCTTGAGCTGCCATGTACGTGAGAGGTCAGGTGTTTAGGGCTAGTGTTAGTGTTATTAGAGTTAGGGTTAGAGTTGGGATCATTGTTAAGGGCTAGGGTTAGACTTACGATTGGGGTTAGGTTAGAATTAGTCTCACACATCACGACCAAACCCCTGCCACCTCTTGTCTCAGGCATTAGTCGCAGTCATGTATTTGGCAGGATCATGTATATGGCTCGACACCCGGTCACCGATAGACACACAGTACATGTACATGTAGTATGAAACTGTTAATCTCTAAACAGATGCATGACTTCAACTTGGTTTGTTAAATGCAAGTTGCAAAACACACCGATACCGCTACATTTTTACTTTAGGGTACAGAAGTATTGTTTTGGGTGGCTGAATTGTAAGTTTGATTGTTTTGTGTCAAGTAGCAAGGGCTGCATGTAGTGTTTACATCATACAATCCCCTCTCACAATTCCAATACATCCACAAAACCCCCCCAAAACACTCCCCAGAAGTCTGAAATCTAATTTCTTGTTTTTATTTGGAAAACATGAGAATATCAATATCATAATATGTTATTTTGAAGCAACAAGGTTATGTTCTTGGTACATGACAATAAAAACACTGAGCATCATATTATTAACAGTTAACACATACATAGGATTACAAGTTACATTCTGTAAGTATTCGGCTTGAGTCATGTGGCTACACTGTAACAATCACATAAAGCCCCAACAGCACACAAAGGTATTAAATACAAAAGAAATATTTCTCCTGAGATAGGGTTGCTGGTGGATGGCTGTTCCATGGTCATATTTTAGGGGGTAGTAAGGACCCAAATATTCTTCTAAACCAATACATCTATATTTACTTTCTGTAGTTCTTTCTTTCCGTCCACAAGTTGTGAGTTAAAATTATGGCCCTCCCCTACACACGAACACAAGGAGATTTCCAAGAAGAATTGATTAGATTGAACACTGAACGAATGAGACAAAACAAGACAAACATGTAGAACAATACAGCACAGATTTTAGCTTCGTACCCTTCCTACTCTATATCCAGGTTGCTCCTCTGATAGCCTTCCTGTAGATAAGGTCATAGAACGTGTCTGCAGAACATACTGCGCCTGCGCAAAAACCACCATTTTTCATGGTTTTCGTTGGATTTTTGGTCAACATTGCATCACAATTTTGCCTGTTGCCAACGATATTTTTTCCGACATAACATTTGGAAACTACAAACGAGTGTTAACCTTATGTGCACGAATATGACCTTACATGAGACATTCTAAACAATACACTATGGGTTTTGCGCAGGTGCAGTGAGTTATGCCGACGTGCTAGGTCATAGGAGAGAACTAGGGCTTGAATGAATGATACCAGCAGGCTACACAGATTCTAACACATGACCCAAACATTTGGTCCCTTACAAGTCAAACCAGACAGTTCTTGTTGTGGCTTTCTATTCTATGCAAGGTGTAGCAGCTAGATTTCTTATTCTCTTTCTGATACATTATGTAGGTGACAAACATATTTTGAATTTTCCTCCATTTCTCAAACAATACCCGCAATGCTATAATAAAGCAATCAAAGGCTTTATCGACTTTCCGAGTTGCAGACTTATAGAATTTGTTCCTAACGTTACCATCTTTTGTCTTGTCTTCAAAACATTAAAAAATCATTACATCTTAATGTAGTCAATTTAGATCAGGAAAGACACTGGGAGTTTGGAAACTTCCATATAACCATAATGGCAAAACTATCTATTAGCAGAAAGGAGAAGTTAAGATTTCCACAGGAATCACTATTGAAAGTGTAAATAAATATACTGCTAGTATGCTTTTTTCATGACATGAGAAACTGCAGTGGCTTTAAATTCAGCACCAAGTTGAAGTATCACGTCTTTCCAATTTTCAGTGTCTTTCCCAAATTTAAAATGACTTGTGTTTGATCTTTCTTGCAACTTTCCAGGGTGTATGATCAACCCTTGTGGGTGTTCTGGTATGTACATGGATCCCACAGACACTATAGGTATGGGTTACTACAATGTGTATCATTTACATGAGATCCCACATGCACATTCTACTGTAGACAGTCAAACCTCCAACTGAAGTCAATCAACAGAATACCTCTCCTGAGTTACTGGCCATTTGCAATGCATGGTGATTTTGTTTCTGGATCTAAAGGTTGTGGGTTTGAATCCCAGGTGCTGCCCCTCACATGACATACTTGCTGTCAGAAAGGGTTTCAGCCCTAAACACAAGGTCTTAGTCAAGGTCCACAGTTCACTGTACTTGCCCCAGAGAGCTAGGAGAATTTCACTGGTACATCAAACTTGTATATACAGAACTGTGATACTGACACCCATTTCTTTTGCCATTTTGCAAAAGGCTATCCATGTCTGAAATCACAATCCAGTGGGAAAACTTGGGGAAACTGTCATTTTTGTGTAACACTTATTTTCAATATGGGTTGTCTGATAAAGGATTATGACTATTCCTCTTCATACATGTTACAAGTTTTAAAAGTGGTTCCTGGGACCTTCTTGTACATTTTGTGCATGGAGAACATGTACATGTATGAATGTACTGTTCATAGCATCTGTTGTCCTTGTGAGAGGTTACTTTTCCATAAGCTATGGTCAATCGAAATTCAGTTGCAGTATCTGCACATGTGGATGGTCAGATCATGGCTTGTCTCATTCATTCTCATTCAAGTGACTTCAACATGGAGAACATGTATGTACTGTTCATAGCATCTGTCGTCCTTCCGAAAGGTTAGTTTTTCCATAGGCTACAGTTGATCCAAAGTCAGTTGCAGTATTTGCACATGTGGATGGCCAGATCATGGGTAAGTGACTACACTACAGCATCACGGGTTGTCAGAGTCCACTTGTAACAACGGCTCCTCCCCTCCCTCCATCACCATTAATGTCCGTTTGGCAGACGACCTTGAGGAGTGGTCGTATTTCGAGGAATGTTCGGGAATAAAGAATGCAACAAGCAGCGCTAGAATAACCAGGATGGCACCGAACACGAATGGTGGGCCCTGTATTATACTCTGTGGAACAACAACATGAGAAGAACTTCAGTATTGCATTCTTCAAAGAAGGAATACATCTATGTAAAAATAAAAGTCTTTCAAGTTTTTCACATGGGAATGTTTATCGTACTTTCAATAAAAACTTTATCATTAGTAATTATTCTAACACATATTATCCATCATCAGCATCATCAGCAATAATTCAAAAGAAAGCAAAAGAATTATTGAATTTTATCATATTTCCATTAAAATAACACAATTTTTTCTCAGCTTGGGTCAAACTTTGACTGGATTGTGTCAGGTGGCTTTGCAAGATGAAATTGGAAGATTAACCGCAAATTATGCTTTTTGTTATTCTATAATAATAATCGTGTATGAAAGATCGCCCACCTGTGCTGTAGGGTCTGCTAACGTCTTATTGGCCGCTGCTGTGGGACTGTCCAACTTGTTCAGGTCGACGTCAAACACGAAGAAGATAAAGCCGAAGAGAGCCGGTCCCAGCCCATTGCACAGTCCCCGGATACCTGTAATAATCCCCTGTACCACACCTGATGGGGGAACAAAACAAGAGGAGTTTCATTTCTATTTTCAATCACTTTAAGGGCATCTGGTACAATTTCAGAGTGGCAAAAATGGAAATATTCTGAATAAGGCAATCTGTATGATATTGACACATACTGTCCCACATAAGCACATTTGAATCAGTATTTCAAAACTGCAGAAACAAGCCCCAAGATGAGTCCTTTATTTTCTGGGTGGTACCCTAAAAATCCACCCAGGTCCTTCCAGTAACAGCTTTTTTGTCAGAATTTGGGAATTTTTGCTCCATGAATGTCGATATACATTGTGACAGTGTCGTCTCAACGTAGTACATGTATGTAGATAAGTGACTAGAATTGACCTTGAAAAATCTGGTTTTCAAACCCTAAAAACTGTATTGGATGCCTTAAAACAACAGGACTGAGCATGACATACAAACTACATTTATAGAGACCCTCTTCTAATAAAACATTTACAAAGACAGACAACATGCTTCTTTAGAAAGGAGAAAAGAAAGCAATAAAGCAATGATCATGAAGACACAGCACCAGGGCTTTAGCCAGCGCCCGTTTTACCGTCAATTGACGGTAATTTGTCCCGTGTGACGGTAAAAATTTAAGTCCTTACCGTCAACATTGACGGTCAAAAATCGTGGGTAAAGACATAGAAAAAAATCTAGCGAATTTGAATTAGCCACGGCGCGGCGTCTTTTCCAAACGCACGGCGGCTGGAAACCTGATTTCAAGGACCGTGCCGACGTCTGTTGACTTGGTTCTATTGTTCAATGTTGCTGTCTGTTAAAACAACATGTGCTAACGGCCACATAAGAATAAAATAAAACAATGGCTCGACTCAGACCCACGCTGCTAACTGTACATGACAATACGATAAATAAACATGTGACAACGAACAAAGAAATATCAAACGTTTTGAAAATGTACTGTACTTGAATAATCATACTATCGCAAGAAAACGGAGATTGATCCACACAATGTGGCCTTATTTAATCTAAAACTTCGTCAGACCTCCTTCGCGCGGAGACTTGAGCGGCAGCATAAAGATTTCTGGAGGATCGCTGACACGCGAGTTTTTGCCGGCCACGTAACTCCCTCCGCGGCAAAATCCCCTATGCCGTGGCGAAATCACGTCTCAGCGCTTCCCCAAGTTAACTTCATGGCCGCTAAAGTCCGCAAAGGAGCTGTAACTTCCTCATTTCGGTTGAGAAGCGAAGCTGACGAGTAAAATCATGTACATGTCGGCCATTTTGTTTGCTACCCGAAGTCTTCCGAACGCTCTAAATAAGGAAATCGTCGGAGATCTGAGCCACATCGCCCGCTGTCGGTCAGCGCTCGGGGCCGGCTCGGTGGAAATCGGAGGCTGTGACGTCAGGACTAGGTTCATTTGCATGACGAAGCCGCCGCGGCTTGAATCGCGGCGCGCGGGATTTGAGCGGATCAAAACAAAGGGAATAGCGGATTGTTCATTGCGTGTTGTCTCCTTGCGAGAACTGTAGATTTTTTTTCATTCTGCAAAATTGCAGATTGTGTAGTTTTTTTTTATTCTGCAATCTTAACGGGTATTTAGAACACCGAATGCATTAAGTGTGTCGATCACCGGTCGTGAAAGGCATTGACGGAATTTTTTTTTTTCGCGTTGACGGTATTTTTTTTCGCGAATTGGGTTGACCTGGGGTTGACGGTAAAAAATTTCGAGCTGGCTAAAGCCCTGCACAGCACTTAGCAACCACATATTCAGTAGCTTCTTGCTGATTGGCTGTTGGGATTTGATTGGGTTTACTCAATTAACACCTGTACCTACCTTGTTGATCTGCATCTGCATTGTTGGACACTATGGAGCTCATGCAGGGGTAGTTGATACTGGAGAGTGCAGCCATGACTCCGGCCACCCACATCATCCATGTCTGTGTCCCAAACCCGTACCAGGCCAGCTGGAAGATCTGGAAGCCCAGCCCTACCATGATGGTGTTCTTATTACCCAGCATCCTCATCAGACCTGACAGTAACTGGGTCTGTAGGGGGAGGGGTACAAGATAAGGGGAGGTGTTAGAAATCTTTATTGAAGATGGCACTTTGTAGACTACATATTCACCTTGGCTTGGTGACTTACAGAGTGCAATCTGTGCATTTTCCGTTGACGATTATAATTGATTGAAATTACAGACTGATATCAATGTGTGTTAAAAATCAGTCTGTACTATAAATCAAGTATGTAAGATCCTGTACTTGCAACTCAATCTTGACTTTTCAGTTCTCACATAGTTCTTATCCAATGCACCATACAAAGTTAAATTTGTACAGCAGCATTTTACCATTTTTACATAATTAGCCTATGCAGTCATCCATACCACCATATTTTGTACAAATTATAGTCTATATTTTAGTCTTACCTGTGCGAAGACAGACAGCACCCCTACAAGAGCTATGTACTTGGCAACTCCTTCCTCATTAAAACCCATAACCTGTAACAACAAAGGGTATGATGTCAAAGGGTACACTCTACGTACTGTATTGTGCCAATTTGTATTGTGGCAAAATCAGAAAGCAACATGGTGCCAAATAAAGGGCTATCTTAGCAAAGAAAAGGATAATGTTTGCTCATGAATCTGACCAAAAGTTTTGTTCTGATTCAATTGACATTCAGCAATGTCCTTTCTGTTTACCATCTTTAAGATAAAGAAGAAGGTACAACAGAAGGTTCCTATAGTTTGACTAACCTCCTTGAGATACAGGAAGATGCATGTGTACTGCCCTGCCTCTGGTAGATATGACAGGAACACTGTGATACAGATGAGCAGCACGACTTGGTCCTGTCCAACCTTCCGCAACGACTGGGCAAAAACAAAGACTTCAGCATCAGTACTGGATAGTATGAGAAAATTTTGCTCTGTTTCATCTTCATCTTCTCTGGTCAATGACCTGAACCAGACGTCTCTCACCATGGTAACTTGTGTTGGGGTACATGATGTTGCAATTTTATAGCAGGAGGGATTTAGACTCCTGTCTGACCATATGTATGAATGTGTTTGACTAAGAATTAACAGAGAAGACCATATGCATAGGTAAACATTATGCATTTGCTTTGCAAATGTTACCTTTCTAGTTTCTACATTTTGTACTCACAGCAAACGGATCGGCCTGCTCCCAGGATATGGAGGCCCCCCAGGAGGCCGGTCGGACCTTCTCTGGCAAGGACTCGGGCACGGCGACCAGTATAAATAGCACGTCCAGCAGGGCGATGGCCGAGGACAGGGCGATCACCAGGTTATCTCCGTACGTCTTCCCCACGTAAGCACCGACCGCCGGGCTGATCACCAGACTGGCTGCAAAGGTGGCAGACACCTGGAAGAGGGGAGGGGGGCACGGGAAAAAAAAACAATGTCACTACAGATGTAAATAGTTTCATCCGTTTGGTGATAACATTCTTTGTAGACTAGCACAAACAAGATGATTTACCCCAATGTCACTACAGATAGCAGGCTGTATGATGTTAAAAGCAGTCAAAGTAATCTAGACTATAACATAAGCATGGAAAACACCAACTGAAGAAACTGTCCATTTGCTAGATTTGCAACCTATTTCTGTAATAAAAAACTGGGGGGATAAAAGTTTTAAGCTACTATAACAAATACAGATACAGAAGATGGGTTAAAAGGTTAAAATAACAGCTCCCCCTACCAGTCCGTATGCAGCACTTCGGTCCTGCTCCTCTGTGATATCAGCCACGTAGGCAAAAATGATGCTGAAGGTGACAGCAAACACTCCCGACATGGACAGCATGGCAAAGTACCACCTGGAAATAGAGACAGTATTCTCATTTAGTACTATCGAAATATTTTCATCTAGCTGTATGTTGCTACTTTATAGTGATACTTTCTCACCAGCAAGAGATACATGTGTGTTAACCATGGTGAAATACTCATCAGCATTGCTGCAAGATGCATACTTTTTATATTTCAGTCCATACCGCGCTATGGATGAAATATATTGTTTTCCCTCATTTTCAATGTTTTTACCTCAGGCAAAATCAATGTTTTTCTTTTCTTTCCTTCTTGACACTGCTGAATAGTCCTTCGCAATGAGCCATGGTGGTTACATAATTGTTACAGCCAAACCAACAAATACAATACTAGTACATATATAAAAGATGAGAGATGCCTGTTACCATGGTGATATTCTCATGAGCGGGATGGGTGCACAGGTGAAGAACACAGACAGCAGCAGGAAGGACTTCCTCCCCCACACGTCTGACAGAGCCCCGATCAGAGGTGCACTCAGGAATGATAACAGACCCTGCAAACAGAACACAGCTCTGCTCAGTACAAAATTACTGCATGATTTTTGGTCTTAATGGTATTTCAAATCTTATATAGTTTTATGTATATGTTACAATAGTCAGCCCCTTGTAAAAGCCTTATGTTGTATCTAACAGTCACTGTCATTGGACCAGTTAAATTGCTCACATACATGTTAATTGTATAAATTACAAACTCAAGTAAACAACCTACCTTTACACCTTGTATCAACCCATTCATTAAAAATGTATGGTCTCCAAATGTCTCATGTAATATCTGGAACAAGGATAAACATTGTTTATAAAGAGATTAAATCCATGATAATTTATTGCTTTTGATAACATTAACAACTTACATTTGTATACATGTATGTGAAATCACAAGTTAGCATCACCAAAATGGCTACATTCTGTTTATGAACAGTAAATAAGTGTTAAACATTGACACACATGTATACGGATGCTAACCTACAACAGTAAAGAAGAGATCGTTTACATCACATTGTTCACAACTATTTGTTGTACAACTATGGAATTTTGCTGGATCCAGTGTTAAATCAAAATATGCAAATGTTGTCTTAATCAGGTTAATATCAGATTATACTTTATAAAAAAATAGTTACATTTAAGACAGGACTGGTGAGAAGTCCCCAGGCGAAGAACTCCAGGAAGATGATGATGAGAGCGTGCACGATGCTGGGCTGTCCGATACCCTGGGTCTGAAGCACGAGGTAAACAACGTCAGGACTTACATCGGTGAAAGTTAGACATCCAGGTAAACAATACTCATCAGAAATTCAAACTCTACTACTGGATCAATTACGGAGATAATTTCCGGACATTTCGAGTGACATCCACCACTCTGCTTCAGCGTCAATTTAAGTGGTGGATGCCACTCGAAACGTCCGACAATTATCTCCGTAATTGATTCAAGTACAGTAGTACTTCACTAGTAGAGTTTGAATTTCCTATGACTCACATTAGGACTTGATAAAGGAGACACTTGAAAAGATTGTTGGTGCATGGATGACGGAATACTAAGTGGAAATGTTGGTGTTAATCTTCTTTTACTGACATCAAGTGTTTGTGTAAGAGCCATTTTGGACCTAAATTTACATTTTCTTCATCACGTTTAACAAATTATAACATTATCGTGCATATTATACAAATCAGTTACAGTATTTCATAAATCTTTCCCCATACGAGTGCTTTTATTCCCAAAATCCTGCCAAGTTAGGCCTACTTGTGCAGTCCCATCCAAAAGACCTTGTGGCCTCTACTGTCTATAAGTATAACAAGTCATGAGATATCAAAAGTAAACATATGCCCTAGCCTGGATGACTGCCCTCAACGACCCAACGTGCCTAGGAGAGTAACGTTACTAGTTTCACACAGGCAAAACTCGAAACTGAAAACAACTGGCTACTAGTAGCCCTGAGACTAGGCCATCAAATACTTGCACTAAAATGACGACACTGAAATGTGACAAAGACTGCCCTGAGAAAAACAATTTTTCTGCAAAGACAAGAAGTTGTGACGTGTACACTAAAACAGTACAAAACCACTACGTTACGTTTTTAGTTGGAGACTCCATTTTGGTGCCATCTGCATACGCTGCGTTCACGTATTTCCGGACTTATACTGCTGTATCTTACTTCTGTGATCTATTCCAGCAGTGCTACGTCAGCTCTAAGCAGCTAACCACAGACAAAGACTTACTAAACACCAACAAAGGATCCACCAATCGGCCTAGTTCGCCCTAGGGTTTATATCCTAGTGCAGTGAACCCGCACAAACTACCAGCAGTTAGACCGGTCCTTACCGTGCTGCCATCTTTGTTCATGGTGTTCTTCTTGGCCCATAGCGCCGAGTGAAGTAGCTTCTTTCTTTTCTTACCCATGGCAGCCATCTACATCAAGATAGTCGCCGTAAAATGAGAGAAATATTGTTCATTCCTTCGTCCAATTTGATCCCAGTCGCCATAGTTGATCACACCACCGGAAGTACGCTGCGAGATTCCGGAAGTGGATCAGGTGATAGTGGAAATCTCGCGGAATCTCGTAAATCACGAGATGTTGGAGCGCGAGATTTAGGGTCAAAGGTTACATCAACATAGCAACATTGTATCAACAGTACGCTTTTTGTGTGCTTGGCGTTTCTAGGCTAGTCAATCTAGCCTTTCCAGGGAAGAATTGGCCTTTGTTTCTTTGATAGACGGTAAGCAGATGCTTATTTACATAATTGAGATCTTTTCTGTGATATGGACCGTGTGTATCGACTGTCTTTTTCGGTAATAACTTGAGTTTTTGCGTGTAGCTAACCGGCACAGTGTTTGACACTACTGAGTGCAGATTTAAACAGCTGCAACATTTAACTCGTTGCTGTGTTGCCTAGCTAGCCTAGTATATGTTGTACGCAGCGTTTTGCCTGTGACTATATATTCTATGCAAGCAGAAAGAAATGTCGCCTTATCATTGACATTATAGAAATTAGCCTTCATTATAGAAACTGTAAATTTAATAACTGTGAGTCTTTTGAGATGATTTTATTATCTCCCGTGAAAAATAACATCTGGAGGTCAATGTTTTTAAATTGACTACAGTCATATGTCAATAATTGTCAGCTGTCAAACTTGACTCAAAGCCAAAATTCAATGTTTGTTGTTCTGACTGTGTTTATAATTCTTTATTCTTGCAGAGTTGGCCTGTGTACATCATTGGACTGACATTTTAAAAGTCAGTCTTGTATACATCGAGTCAACAGCAACGTGTTGCAAGACAAATCATCATGGCTGTTGCCAGCTGCATTTGGGTCAAGAAAGATATCCATGGAACTCCCCCTTCTCCCAGGTATGCATGGTCCAGTCCCAGTTGGTATTAAGTATTTGAACTTTAAGTAGCTAGATCTGTTGCGGATTCATATGCTTAATTCTCTAGGGGGAAACATATTGTATTAGCTGTAATCAATAGATATATAAGTATCAACTTCATCTTTGTCACAAGAGATTCCTTTTTAATATTTCACATCTCAGGGTGAAACATACTGCAGTTGCTTGCAAATGTTGTATTTCTGCCACTATCTAAACACAGACTTTTTGTGTCCTTAATTTCAGGAACAGCCATGCCATGACCATGGTGGGCAGTATTGGCTTCCTGTTTGGTGGCAGCACCTGTATTGGAGGGGTGAGTCAGTTACTGTCAACTGTCCTGAATTCCTTTCCATATTGGATGCATTAATATAGATGTAACATTATGCAAATCTCCAGCAATGCTTTAATGGTAAGCCTGTAATATTGACTTTTCTGCAATGACACCTGCACATGTGCATTTTTTTACACCTGCCTGAGGAATATCATACATTTGCACTTTAGGCCACACCAATTTAATTTGTTGGTTCTCGGATTTTTTCAGAAAAAATATGAAGCGACAGGGCGAAAAAAAATAAAAACAGGTCTAGGCATCCTATTATAGGCTTAAATGCTACAAATGAGCCATGAAGTCAACACAAAAGGCTGGGTTAAAATTTAAACATTGAATTTTGAACTTTTAATCAAACCACTGCAATAATAGATGGGAAAACTGTAACAACTAGGAAGAAAAGGACTTTCCTCAACTGTTGGGGGGCAAAACATGTCAGCATTTTTCAGTTGATTCAGGACCAGAATCAAATTTTTTTTTGCAAATCAGAAAAAACGAAGAGGCGAATCCGAGAACCAACAAATTAAATTGGTGTGGCCTTAGTTTACAAGGCACCATATTGTCTCTGACAATCATGTACCCACCTGCAGGGTTCCACCTCTGTCTTCAGTGATGACGAAGAGTCTGCATCGTTCTACAACGACCTCTACATGCTTCAAGGTGAGTTTTAAGCCTCATGATATGATTTGTACAGATCCATGTGAAGAAACAGGTTGACATTGATGTCACAGTGCACAGATCTTCTCCGTAAAATCACAAGTGCACCGTAATTGTGCAGGACAAGTATTAATTTGGCTTCTTCAAATAGACTTCTTTAAAACCATGTTATGACATTTCTGTGTTTCCCACAGTTGGTCCCAGCCAGCTGGTATGGGAGAAGGTGCCCCAGGGCGGGGACATCCCCTTCAAGAGAGATGGAGCTTCTCTGTGGTGAGTCTGTAGGGAAATACATTATTCTTTATTTTTGTTTGGTTCATTAATGATTAAGTAGTGGATCTTACACCTTTCATGAACTTCTCTGAATACAATAAGTGGTGAACAATGGTGAATTAACAGTGATGGTGGTTTACACCTTCCCAATGTCCCCAGTGCGGTTGGCTCCACCCTGTATCTGTTTGGAGGAAAAAGTGAGCTGGTAGCTGATGAGTCTCTGTCAGGCCTCTACACCTTTGACACAGGTAGGCGCTCATTCACTCACTCACTCACTCACTCACTCACTCACTCACTCACTCACTCACTCACTTCACTCACTCACTCACTCACTCACTCACTCACTCACTCACTCACTCACTCACTCACTCACACTCACTATCCATGATTTGATTATTCTGCTGCTGTTGTCCCTGCCACGGGTTTTCAGCAGTTGGCTAGTAGTATGACAAATATGTAGGGTTGTTATACAGTCATATCTTCTACCTTTTTTGCCCTTTGGCAAATAAGGCACTTGTACTTTGTATTTTACAGCTAGCACTCTAGCTTATCCTATATGTAACTAGTATTGTTGGATGCCTGCAGGGTTCCTAATTGTAATGGGTTTGAATTGCAAAGATTCACAAGTCCCCATTTTCAGTTTTTTTCAAGCTCTGTCCCAATCCATCTAGAGTTTGGTATTAGTTAGAAGAATGTGATTATAAATTCTTTGTTACACTTGAAGTACATATTTCAATGAAGAGAATCATGACATTGTACAGGTACACTGTGCTGGGAGCGTTGTACCACCCAGGGCCCCCAGCCTCGCACCTTACACCATAGCCAGGCTGTGGTCGGGAAGAACATCTACGTCTTTGGTGGGATCTACAAGGGGAATGCTACAAACACCATGTACATGCTCAATACAGGTCAGTTACTGCTGCTGATCCATATTAGTTTTTGATTATTAAGGGAAATTGATCAATACAAAGATCAGAGGTGAACAGAAAGTCAAATTTATAAACACTTGATTATTGAACCACGTCCAATTTGATCCCTTCAAATAACGCTCAGGCCTTTAAGGAAAAAAAAAGTCGTGTTTCCTGTTTTCCGATCGACCGTAGGAAGAACTGCCGACCCTAGCCTTTTTTTTGGTAGACCCTTGCAAGGGATTATTTCAAGCTAATCAATCTTTTCAAGCTCTATGATCTAACGTGAGTGATGAAATGTTGTACAAACAGTTTTCCAACAAGTGTCCTCATGCAAGTTCTACTTTCAAATTGTTAAACTGTATTGTACAAGTTGGATCACTAGAGGTTGTGAAAGTCTAAAAGAGATAGAAAAAGAAAAAGATAATCCCTACCGACCCTAATTGTTGTTGTTTACTTGTTTCCATAGCAACGCTGACCTGGACTCCCCTGCGAACCTCAGGCGGGAAACCCTCCCCAAGGTAAGGGCCTACTTGAACTTTGAACTTTATTCATTATTACACTATGTAGCAAACTAATACTAGTAGCAATAGCAGTAACAAATCCATTAATATCATGAGTTTAGAATTGGTGTCTGCAATTATTCATCTCTGGCATTCAGCTGGGAACAGGTTTAAATGATGTATGAACTTGACTTTTGTTACAACATTTATGTCTTTGTTTGGAGGTTGATCTAATGATTCACTTAAAGATTTTATAGCGATAAGAGTTTTATTTGTTATTTAGGCCATGTTGATTTGATTATATGGATGACATCCTCCGGGAGCCCCAAAACTGATGCGCGCGTGCGAATAAAAAAAAAAGGTTTGCAAAAAAAAAGTTCTTTTCATTATGAAATCTACGTGATCATGAGGGTTGAGCAAATAGCACAGAATATGGTTTGGCGAATAATCTAGTCTTCAAGTTCATTTCTTTACAATTTTGTCTTTTTTCGTTTGATTTTGGCATTCTACGGCATTGGTATAGTTTTTATTAATTTTTTTTGTAACTTATGGTATATTTTTGCTCATTTTGCAACTGTTTTGTACGATTTACAGTATGGTTGAAAACTTTTTTTTTTTTTGGAAACGGCCGAAAATTCATGCGCGCGCGGATGTCATCCATATAATCAAATCAACATGGCCTTAGTTGTAATTAATAATTGTTTGTAGTTGTACACTGCACGGAAAATTGTGAGGTAAAGTGGCCATGCATGAGTGAATGAATACATAGTTTAACTGCTGGAAAAGGTTGATGAATGTTTTTCTTTACTCCGTGCAGATGTGACCACTCCAGCTGTGCTGTTGGAGACAAGATCTACGTGTTTGGAGGCTGTGCAGGGGACAACGTGTGGCTGAATGACCTGCATATCTTTGACACAGGTTTGGCACAGAAATACTTTAAAAAGAAGGTTATTGGGGTTTTCAACAATTTGGAAGAATTTGTCTTGCTCAGGGCTGTAACGGTCCGTCATTGCCTTCATCTAGATGGCTGTGAAATTTTTGATGGGAGACTATGTTGTGTGGGAGACTATGCGGCCTAACTCTTGAAGGCATGGTTCGATGTTCATGATTTTTGTTAGACAGGTTACAGTTGGGGAGACAACGGTGAAGTTCAAAAATGGGCCTCATGGGGGTCCCTTTATCACTCCAGTGGAGAATCTGTACATAGCTGTTCATGATTTTTGGTAGGCAAGTTACTGTTGGGGATACCAAGGTCAAGTTAAAAAATGGACCTCGTTACAACACTGAGGAAGGTAGCTAAGTACTGAAACATTGACAGATGTATATGATACATTTAAAGATGATGATGTTTGAAATATATACTTCAAGTAAATCCAAATGTACTCATAATAAAATCTTTGCCCCTCTCCTTGTAGCCACCCTGACATGGACCTCTCCCATGATAAAAGGCGAGGCACCCCCAGCACGGGGCTGTCACACGTTTGTGTCACATCATGATAAGGTCAGTATTCATGGTTAATATTGATATCCATGATTAATATTTCCCAAGTTTCAAGGAGGAGGGCATCGTACAAGCCTTGTAGGCTTCTTTCCTCCTCCTGCACACTTTTTTTTCCTTTGTTTTTCATATTTGTTGATTAATGTTCATCTTTTCATTTGTGCAAATAAATAAATCAAAATGAAAAAAAAATTACAAGGTGAACAGTGAACACTAGGCCTCAATCCACTGTACATTCCTACACTGCAAGACTAGTATCCTTTAGTATTAGCTGAAGAATTGAAATCATGCACTGGAAACTGAAGCTATATGCAGTGTTGTGATTACGGTAAAGCTGTCCTTGGTGCTGATCTCTGTGTTGGAAAATAAAAAGTTATCCATTTGTGGTACATGGTAAGAATGATGCCTAGTAGAGCTGATTTAACATTTTCTTTACACTGTATAAGTGAACAATTTGTGCTGTGCACAGAATGGCCATTTATAACTGAGAATTGTTTTAATTTTTTCAGGACATCTACGTGTTCGGTGGATCAAATGACTCCAACATTGAAAACATGTCGTTCAACGACCTTTACAAACTCAGCCTAGGTAAGTTCAATACTTCTTCATCATTTTAATTTTTCTGTGGCAGATGATGTAGAAAAAAGGTTGAACAAGAACTGTTGCAACAAAGTTTGAGAAGAATAATTGCTGGACAAAAAAAGCCTCTGTGACATGTGCTAAATGGGTTTTACATACATAACAAGGACCCAGGAAGTAATCAGATACATACAGTAACCTAATTATAAATTATGACAAATCTCTGATTGATCAATTGATTGATTGATTGATTGACTGATTGGTTGATTGTTTCTGACTCTTGTGTCTTGTTTTTGTCCTGTAGGAAGGCTGAAGTGGAAACACCCCCTCTACAGCGGGATTCCTCCAGAGCGAAGATACAGTCACACAAGCTTCATCCTCCACAGTCATGTATGTAGATCACATAGAGATATATACATTTTGTACATGTGTAGATGATTTTATCAATACTAGAGCTTCCCTGCAATACAGAAATCTTTGTGTCTTCTACAGTCGTTTTTTTTCAGTCAGACAATTCACCTTCTTTGGATGATAACTAACAGTTGAAGATTGGCTTTTGAATTTTTATGCTTCCAATACTTGAAATTGTAATCAACTGACATAAAAATGTGCCTAAATTTCATGATAACAGATTTCTAGGTAATCTAAATTTGAATTTGGTAGTGAGACAGCAAGAAGCAGTAGTTGACAAATCATAACACACCACTTCCCCGCAGATGTACGTGATTGGTGGAATTAATGAGCAGCGGGAGTTTAACGATGTCCATATCCTGAAACTCATCAACCCGTCAGACAGGCAGCCAGGTGAGCTACAAAAGACTTTTTACCTGTAGCCTGGTGTCTTAAATTCATGTTCTTTCTTACTTCTTGATGTCATAATCACAGAGAAATTTTAATTGTCGTTCATTGTCGTTCTAGAATCTGTGTAGTTACCAATTGCCCTTAGACTCACTGGGTGGGTCCAAATAAATAAGGTCAATGGCCTGGACCAGATGGCTGTCACCATGGTAACTGGTGTTGTAGCAGAAACCCTGTGGTGTTGTGTTACATTAGTAAGTGTCAGGACAGAGTTTGAGGGGCTGGTTATGTATTTGAGTAAGAATGAACAGAGCACTTGTCATGCCCCATGTGGTGATGTATTAAATTCTTTGCAAATGTTACCTTTCTAGTTTAAACTGTTACTTCCATTGAAATTGTCTCAATACACATTCAATGATATAATGCTTGTATTGTTTACAGTGATGAAGTCAGTTCTGGAGGATTTTGGAGTCCACAATGAGAACGTTGGGTAAGAATAGATTTTTTTTATTGATTATTTTTCCTTGAACTGTTGTAAAAAAAAGTCTCTTCTTTTGGCTATTACATTTCCAAGAGGCCTAGAAAGTGTCAATTGTTCTTTAACCACAGTCTCTTTGGTATTAGCTACACTCCCACCAGGACGCCGCAGCCTCGATATGAGCTGTCGGACCCCCCAGCCGTCACCTCACCTCGATCCAGACTGCCCCAGAGTCTTCCTGTGAGTTTCTGTTCAACACTGACTCCTTCAACTCTTACACATAGACTGTCATAGTGTTTAAAACTGTTTGCTGAATGTACATATGTATACAGACAGATGTGTTGAAGTTATGATCAAGATATTTTGACTCTTATAACAAGTGCACATTTTGTAACATCTTTAAACTGTAGTACTTTAAACAGGGACTGGGGTCGTCACTACCTGAAACTTGTATATGAATGTCTCTTGTCACGTGATGATCCCATCAAGTCACGTGACATTAGAGAATTAACTCCAAGACGAGATCTTAACCTGGTTGAAGAGGAGACTGAGTGCGTCTCAAAAGCTCCCCAGTGTAGCTGAACTTTAGTTGTGTGTTTTGGTATAAATGTCAAAATCTTTAAACTTTTTCAGAAATACATGCAAATATGTAGTAATTTTTTTACATAGTATTACAATCACAAACCTTCAAACATGAATGTCTCATCTGTGATTTTCAGAGTCATGAATCCCCAGACTTTGGTGAGGCGAGAGCATCAGCCATCAAACTGATCCAGGATGCCTTCAGTATTCTGGAGGACAAGTTCAAGCAGCTAGAAGTGTAAGCTTAGGATACTTGAATTTACATGACAATGCATTGCACTTATCTGTCAGCTTTTTCTGTCATTTTCTATAATACAATGTCAGTAGATTTATGGGAAAGTTTACCTTCATTTCTGACTTCTTTGTGATCCCCAGTGAGAGAGCTGCCCTGAGCACAGCCCGTCAGGCATTTGCCAAGGAGAAGGAAGAGTACAAGACAACCTACGGCCGTCAGCAAAAGGTAAGAACACTGAGCAATTTTCTTCATCTTACTACACCAGAAAGAAAAGTAAACCATTGTTCCAACAGTGTAAAAACCTGAGTTTACTAAATTCATGGTTGTCCCTCCAGCCTGCAGCCTTCATCAGATAGAATGACCTGTCACTTTTGACACGCGATGTGGCAGTCACATTTTACCTGTCTCAATAGGCTGGGAAGTTTTGATGACAAGTTATTTTCTAATCCTAAGAAAGTAGTGTTTAATTTACAACTGAGGCTAATCTCTTTCTCGCTTTCTCTCTCTCTTTCTCTCTCTCTCTCTCTCTACAGGAGCTGCGTGACATGCTGGAAAACCACAAGTCACAGAACGAGGAGTGGCTCCGTCAGAGGAAGCAGGAGAATGACGCAGACAGGAAGAACATCGCGAAAGAGAAGGTGACCTTGAAGATCCGATATTTGTCTGAAGTTGATAGATTCCAGAGTCCATTTGACTAGGAGCAAAATTAATATCTTTTACTTTTGATGCACGATTGGAAGGAGATACAAGATTGGTGGACTGTCATAATGCTTCTTCATTTAATTTACCGTATCAATTGTATTGATGGTTTACAAAAATGTACATCTGAACATCATGGCTGTGATGCACATCATACACTTCACAGGACACAGCCACACACCCAGCTGTCTGAAGATAGACATGCAGGCCTCAGCTAAATAGAGCACATTTGTGAGCTTCCTGACCTTTTCTGTGCTTGCTTAGGTGGTGGGATTTTGGCATGCATTAGCCTTGATTGGTTTTCCTTTACTGCCCACGATCATGATAATGATCATTGTTGCATACTCATTTTCATCTGTCAGTGAAATGAGGAAAATCGTGTAAAGTGCCTTTCCCAATGGCACAATGTTGGTGACTTGAGACGCAAACCTGGGACCTCTTGGTTCTGAGCAGAATGCTCTGCCATTACACCACTCATGTTACATTAGACAAAATGGTGATGGCTGTAGGTGGGAATCCTGGCAGCACGCCTTTGCAAAAAAAAAACTTTTTACTTCCTCCTCACCAGAACAATCATGGTGATCATGAAGATCTACATCTGATGTAAGTTTTGTTGTTGGACTGGTGGTATGCTATCCTCACTGTATCCGGTTCCAACAGGGTGATAAAGTGTTGGGAATTTGCTAAACTGGTTGAAGGCTGATCATAATTATAAGGTTCAGAAAGGTTCTTTTTGGCCCTTTTCCCACTGGGATAAAATTGTCCGGATCAAACCAAATAGATTTACTTTGATCCGGCTTTGATCTGGACAATTTTATCCTAGTGCAAAAAGGGCCTTAGTCAACATCTGAAAATTGTAACATTCTTCTCCCCTCTCCAGGCCCAGCTGGCAGAAGAACGGGCACGGATTCTGGCTGAACAGGACAGCCTGTCAGACAAGTCCAGGAAACTGGTGTCTGTCATGCAGCAGTTCAAGACTGTCTGAAGCAGCGTTTCTTATCATGAGACTCTGTCTTCGCCGGAGATGTAGAAACTCATAGAAGAGTTGAACTATTTATTTCTTGCACTTTTGAGTTTCTAATGTATTGTAACATACATGCACAAAGTAGTTATTTCTGAAGGTTGAAATTTTTTAAAAATATTTTTAACTTAGACATATTTAGAGCTGGTCTTCCAACTGATCTCTGCTCACATACTATAATAAGGCATATATGCCCTAATGGACATGGAACAAACATATACACAGGGAAAGGGTATCCTTTTATCACTTACTGGTTGCTTTAAACGTTTTGTGTGGAACCGAATTTGTCCTGGTAAGTTTAAGAGTGTGGTGTTCCAAAAATTAATAGACTACAGAATGTTGCATACATAATATAATCTTCAAGTAAAGCTGAACTTGTTGTTCTTAAAACTGCCAGTAAACTACCCTACTCTGGAGGCTACTTTCAGCAGGCAGTTTCTTTGACTATCCCAAAGAAATAATAAGAAAAGTTTAGATATATAGAATGTATATTTAATGTGTTCATAGTGAAGCTAGAGATTTTATTACCTCCAGTTTTGTAAATATAACATTTGACAGTATTAGTGTCCTGAGGACTTTCCTATTGTGTGTATGTGTGTTTGTACCAGTAGCAATGTTGTCAGAAAGCTTTACCACAAAAATGTTGCAAGTCAGGAAGATGTTGAAAGTCAGGAATAAGCTACGTGGTTAAAATTATAGCTTACAGCAATACAATAGAAGAGTGTGATGTATAGTGTATATTTATACTGTTGACAAGATGCCTCCCAATGATCTAACATGCCATTCCTTTCTGGATTTTGGGTCCAAACCCATTGAACCACTGTCATTAACAAACAGTAACTACATGTATCTAATGGCATTTATAATTGCTATACAAGTTCAAGTGTGAAAGGATATTTTATTTTTTGTTCATCAAAGTACCATTTCTAAGTTATGTCATATCTAACGTGCATACATATTGGCATGTCATATGCATTTAGGGTACAACTTGGTCAATACTAGCTTGTGATAGTCAGCTAAACCAAAGACAAATGTGTTACCACCAGTTGTATTCATATTACATGTGTGTACATTACTACAGTAAAGTCTGCAATTGAAGTTGGGGTGTTCAGGCATCGCTGTAAACTTTTATTCTGTGTGCTGTGAGATCATAAATAAATATAGTCTTTCATGACATAACTGGTTTGATGTCTTTATTTTATTATGATCAAGAAATTCTGATGAAAAAAGAAATATAGTGAGAATCAAAGTCCAGCAACAAATGTGATGATATGTTCTTGTTGAAAGTTCCACAGTGATTCCCTAATTATCCTTTAGCTAGTAAATGTCACTAGGTCACATTTCCAAACCGGGGCCAGGCTGGGCTGTTTCGATTAACGAATAATCAACAATTTATATCAAGAATATACGCAAAAGTTAATATTTTTTTTTGTGGTTTGTTGTCTTCCATATCATACTTTATACTCCATAAGACTGCAGGCCGGGCCCAGGTTGAAAATGTGACCCCAGCATAAGATGAGATACTGCAAAATAAATACTTCTGATAGAAAAGACTGCTATGCTGTTATTGTGAAAAACAGGGCCGCTACATACTTTGGCTATATTCTACAACACTGCTTGCTCTTTGACACAGACTGTACTGTACAGCTACAGGTCTTAACTACAACTGACAACAATAATTACACCTTTTAAAAATACCTAAAATACATCTTTCAACAGCAATGCTACTAAGTCTATGTACAACATCTGCACATGTACAGTATTATTTATATTTGGTAGATAATGTTAACAGCTCCAAATATACATATACATGACATTTATTTAGTATTGACAAAAAACAATACTAATAAAAAAAGAATTTGGCAAGTAAAACAGTTTTCAAAGCAACACTGTAGCAACATTAGCTCCCTTCCTGTATAAAAGATAATGGTTAAAAACACAAAATTACAACAGCAATCTAAAAGCTTTCCAGCACTATATATTCTTGACCACTTTTGCATATTAGTAATCTCAAACTTAGTGAGCTCTTTATGTTTTTTCTCTGTCTCATAACAGACCTTTATGTTAACTCTTTAATGGCCTTGACTGAAAAATTTTGCCTAAAAACATCAAATTTTCAAAAAGCACAGCCCATTGTTTCTGGGCACCTCTAGGGCCTCCTTGATACTCCACAATAACATCTTTACCTGAATTGGTTTTCCTTCTATCTCTAATTATCTACATTGTAAAAAAAAAATCTAGCCTTCTCCAAGTATATTGCACTGTCTGCTGTTTTCTGTTTGTGCAAAAGGGAAACAAAATCAAATTTTAATACACATATACTTGTGTAACAAGCAAACAATCCAACAACTGCATATAGCAATATCATAGAGTGAATAAATATAGAACCAAAAGATATACATACTGTATCAGTAAACTGTGTACTTTTATGTTTCTTTGCAAGAGAAGTTAATTCTACACCAAAAATGGCTAAATTGGGGATTATAGTAAAGAAAACTGACAAAAATAAACTCCTGGTCCAGTGATAAGGAAGGTTGGCAACAATGTACTTATTTTAGTACTACACGTAGTACCTTTCTGACTTGCACAAGTCAGAGATGTTGAGTATGTACACTCTAGCCTCTGACCTCAAACTGACCAGTATTGTTGCAGTCATGTAACTTGCATAGGTGACCTTGACTTGACATACTGATAAAGGTCACAGGGTAGGCTAGAAGAATTATGTCTTTTCAAACTCTGACTTTCCTGAATCCAATGCTGAATGTTCCCTCTCCAGGTAGGTACGTTCTCTGTTATTGCTGTGACTCCTTGGCTATCAAGGGAATGATGGGGGCGATGCTGACCTTGACCTCTCTGCTGTACAGGAAGGTCGCGCAAATCACTATTGAAGCTCCAATGAAGAAGTGACTGAAGATAAAGAAAAAAGTGGCATACAGTTATAATGTAATAGTAAGCTCAATATTACAATTTGAAAATCATGTACAGTACAACCAAATCATTTCCAGGGCCAATTCCCCCTGCTACATGTATGAGCTACATGTAAAACTTCAAAATGATTCTGGGTCCTCTAGGCAAGGACTACCTGTGACCTTTGCCCTCTGACCCTTCACCTTTGACCCACCTGGATGGCCTGAAGTCATCCAGGATGTAGTATGACATCACAGTGGACAGGATGATGGACAGGGATGTGGCAAACCCTTTCAGGATGTTGTCAGCATATTTTATCACTGCTGCTATCACCAACCCCCCAAAAGCCTGCAACATAGAAATACATATAGTGGACTGTATGTTGATTTGTGCATGAGAAATACTAGCGCACAGTTTAGTTGCTTCCCCTAGGATTTAATAGCTAAATATCATGACATTTTGAAAAAATGACACGGAAAAGTCCTTTTTTGGCTACAGAAATTGAAAAAAAAAAATCTGATGGCATTATTCAAGTTTGTATTTTTGACAAGAGACTCTGACACGTTGGTGAAGGTTAGACATCCAGGTAATAAGATACGCCAAAAAACAGTTACTCAAGCAACTGGATATTTTGAAAACGGTTAGACGAAATAGTGGGACATAAACTCTGACTGATTAACACACTGGGCTAGTGTTACCTTGCCTGTGAGTTGGCCAAACCAATGACGTGAATAATCTCACCTGTAATGACACAACTGTCCATGTTATACTGTTGTATCCCTGCAGAAAGCCCAGCTCCACCACTAGTTCATAGTCAGACATCACCACTGCAAACAACCCAAATATGGCACCAAACAGGCCTGAAACATGACAGACAACAGTAAAATATTGAACGTGATTCCAACACAAGTGTTACACAGAGATCAAATTTTCAACGACCACTGTTGCCTTCATCAGGATGATTAATGACAAATCAATTCAACTCACGAAACTTAAGACACGTGACCTTATTCGCTCGAGACTTTATGGGCAACAGTCTTCATAACACAAAAATGCTCATGGCAGTACTTCAAATAGAAATACAAATTGGGAGTTTTGTTCTACATACAATGTATTAGTGTCAACATTTTTTGTTGTTTGGAGTGTACACACTTGTCTAGAAAAACCTGTCATTGGGACACCACACCTCTAAGTTGCCTTTCCCAAGGGCACAAGATTGGTGGCATAGCAGGTTTCGAACTCAGGACCTCTTGGTTCCGAGCCGAACACTCTGTAGTTACGCCACACAACAGATTTCCAACAGTTCTAGTATTTTTCCACATCTAGAATGACTGACTCACCTAGCTGTATATTCCTGACCCAAAGGGACGGCCTGGAACCCTTGAGGATTTTTTCAAAGTAGACTCCAGCAAAAGCACTGGTGCAGCAGGCAGTCAGCACAGATAACAGTCCCACCACCTGGCTGCCCAGGGAGTGGGTCTTACTAGCTTCTGGCTTGGCCTCTGCTGGCATCTAGGAATGAAATTTACGGATGTTGGTGTGAAATTTACATGTGGCAAATGTGCAAAGACTTTTGTATAATCACCAAAATTTTTACTTACTGTAACAGCTAGTTAAAACCTGCAATTATAATCATATATGGCCTCCTTCGGTCAATACTGACCATGGTAAAAACGTATTAATTTTTTTATATCGGCCCTACAGCTTTGAATATGACTGAGCAGTCATGTACAACAATGACAGTGTTTATTATCATAACCATCCCAATATATAGAGCACATTGCAGAATTTCTGATATGTATGTAGTGTCTTATGTGTTTTCCTACAATGTAAATATACTAGACCAGACCAACTGAGTTGAATTCTGGTGAAAAAGATTATCTATCTTGTAAGTACGGTAAGCCTTTTTCTTTAGACTTTTGACAGATTTTTGAAGTTGTTCTTGTGTTTTTACTGACCTGCACTAGTGCCACACCTGTCATGAGCAGCACCAGTGCCACCCATTTGGATGTCTCCAGTCTCCTGCCCAGCATGGCTACACTGAACAGGGCTGTGGTCAGGATCTTTAGCTGATAGGTCACCTAGTAACAACAGAATATGGGAATATGTATCTCATCAACACACACTGATAAAGCACTGAGCAAGCCACGATGATTAAAGAAAACAATTCCCTACAGTAGCATATGCAGGTTGGGTGAGTGACAACAGTAGTATTCTCAACTCCATAGCCAAGAAACAAGGTCCTTCACCGCCCAACTCCATGCTTTGTTAGTTTACTTCTTGGGATGATTTGATAGTAGAGCTGTGTACCTAAACAAATTTTAGGTATAGGTACACAGGTTTAGGTACAGGTCCGGGTATGAAACTGTACTTGAACAATTTGACAAATAAACATGGTCTTCTGGACTTCTTCAATAATGAGATATACATATTGACATAAGGGTACACTTACTTGATAGGTTGCAGCGTCCAGGTTGGACAGTGCCACATACAGCAGGTTGTTCTGTAGGGTGTACAGGACAGATGGCACGGCCAGTTTGAGGGTCTCCAGGGGTTTTCCCACCAGCTCCTGACGTAAGGTAGACCCCAGGCGAGATATACTCATACCTACAGTCAAAAAATGTCACATCAGGAAGGTCAGAGAATATCCAGCAACAACTTACTGCAGTATATATTGCTCATGGAAAACTACAATTCTGCTAGAAAAAACCTAATAGTATGTTTCAAGTAGATAAAAACTCAAGCAATGAATCACCATGTCCTAAAACATGTCTGTTTGTACGTTTTCTCCATCACAGAGAAGAGGGGAGAAGTCGAATTTATGGATATTGAGTCGTTCGCCAGGGAAATGTATGTTTTATAGAAATGTGCGTGGCCTACAGCTATTGATTACATCATTATGACGTCATAATTATAATAATTTGCTTAAATTATCATCTTCAATTAGGTACTTCAAGATCCATACTAGCTCTAAGTGGTATTTTTCATAACTCCCAAAAATTCATCAGTCTTGTCCTGTTACAGTAACAGGGCAAGTGTTGCTAGTCCCTATAGTGCAAGGGATACACTGTAGCTTCAACAAGCCATGATTCTTTTTTCTGTGGGTATGAGTGTCAATACAATACAATACATGTATAACGTTACATGTACTAGTACCCTGTTCAAAGAAGACCAGCACCACACAGGCAGCTATCTTCATGACTTCAGCCACCACCACCGCGGTAGATGACAGGTACCGTGGTCCCCTCGTCTCGGCGGTCCGCGAGTACCGCATGGTCAGGACCAGCGACGTCGTCTGGAGAATCAGCACCCCCAGGGACAGGTACTTCAGCGAAACCATTGTCCACTCCTATTGGTTAGGAACAAAACCTTGTTAAGTTTCAGACCAATGACAAAGCCTGATTCACAACAATATGTCAGTTAAGGTTTAATAGACATCCAGGTAATGTAATATGATACGCCAAAAAACAGTCTTGACACTCAAGCAACAGGATTTGCAAAAATCATATCCAGTTGCTTGAGTAACAGTGTTTTGGGCATGATTCACAAGTTTGAAATGCTATGAAGTTTTATACACAGTCATCTACATGTAATATATTCAGGCAACTGGACTTTACACAGTCTTGTGCAGCCTCATAATTTGAGGCAATTTTACATATCCTGAATCCATATTTACTGTAATACAATACCTGGAGCCTGTATAAACAACATCAAGTACTTGTATCTACATACAGAGTGTTGTACAATCCTGGCTCACTTCCAACAAATGTAAACATAGTTAAAACGCCATTGTGAATAAGTGAAAGGCCTTTGTTGTACCTAAATGGTAGTTTATCTGCTAGCATGTATGATCTATCAAACAAAAATATACGTTTACACTATATGCTTTTGTATTTTGAAATTCTTCTAGCTTTCGTCTTACAAATAAAAGTGTAGGAACATTTCTTAGAATAATATACTAACGTTTATAGTAACTAGTATGGTCTACTTGATTGACAGGTGTAATATAGGTGAGAACAATGAGATTCACAAGTAACGCTTACCTGCAGCTGGCGTGACGTTCACTTGGTGGCTGTTTTCTGAGTATTCAAAGACTACAGAAGACTCCAGGATATCTGTGAAAACCTTCCAGGCGCAGCCCGGGTCCCGATGCCAACGTGTCGGTCTCTCAGCTGCAACCAACCGACCGAGAAGTGTTTTTGTATATCGATCGAGCGTTGAAACAGGAATCTTTCCGGTATAAACGTTACAGCTCGCTGTTGTAGGGCAAGAAACCGTGCGTCCAACGCCAAGTCCTCTTTCTGTGTACTGTTACCTTCGTACTCCTGCATAGTGTACACCTTCACACCACGGCATATCTACGTTTTCAACGATTTTCTGACCAAAAAAAACTGTGAAACTGACAGTAGATTGATGCTCTTTGGAGATCCTCAGATATATCTCTTGGGAATACCTAACAAGGGTTCCATTTTTAGTTGTAAACAGTGCCTGCAACATTAACACCTTAAAATTGAGTATAAATTGTATATACTCAATGATGATATAAAACACTAGATAGTCATGATTGCAAGCACTTATTATTTTGACGTAACTGCATAGTAGGTTTGTATTTTTCCAACATCTGATAATTTTGCTGACAGGCAGTAAGAATTTATTCTACAGGCAACCCGTATCATTTGACAAGAGCAAGATGGCTGCCCCCATGCGATTTTGTCGTCTGACTTGGGGACGGAAGTTTTTGCCGTTTCAAGCCTTTGCCACGGGCGGCACTCCGTTCCGAGCCTTACAGACCTGCTCGTGTGCTTGTAGTGGAGAGAAGGAGAATGACTTACAAGAGAATCCTTTCTTCTCAAAGTATAAAAACAAGATTGACCACTTCAGAAAGTAGGTAACGTTACCAGACGTGGGGAGGGGGGCATAACTCAACCCGAAGTCGTCACATCTACTAAGCTGCAATGTGGATTGCTGTTGCTTTAAATCTTTTCAATGAATCTGTCTTTTCCTCCGTATCATATCATCGTCAAATTATGCAAAATCTCATGAATCTCTGAACCAAGATCTCAAAGTCAAACTACTAAGTAACTATATACTAAATTTTGACAGAAATCAAAATACGTCCAAGGTGGTTTAGTATTTGACCTCCTTGGTCGTGACATAGGGCAACTTGTACAGTAACATACATTGATGCATGCTCTTCATAAGTTGAGACATTGGGGGGGCTGCTATTGAGATGTTTTGGAAGATGGCTTTCCAGTTCAAAGTGACAAGAATTATGTGTAACAAACATTATATCCATAATCATAAATGATATTTTTCAGAGAAAACCCTGGCGAGTATGAGATGTTTATCCAGGATAAGAAGGACAGACAAAAAAAGAAGCTTGAAGATGCTGCTGCTAACAAGGAAGCCATTAAGGAGCAGGTAGATTCTTATGATTGATTTACACCGAAAGACTTGTCTTGTTTTGGTTACTTTTGTCATCCATCTTGTAAATGTATTGCTGTTCCTCTGTTTATTCTAAATGTATTGTTATATTTGTTGTTGTGTTTTTTTATGTCATATCTGCTTCTCTCCTGTAGATGGACTGGATGGGTAGCAATCCACGGTTTTCCCAGAATGCACAGCAGGAAGCACAACCTTCTCCTGGCAGCTTCTCCATGGCAGGTGCCAAGGTACACCTGTAAAAACCACCTGTCAAACCACCTGATTCCCCATGCTGTAGATTTTAGTCTGTCATCACAATATACCCCATACACATCCTCCGGCATGGTTCGACAGAATATCATTTTGTACATATATTGCATTTGTCACTTTTGTCAGTCAAGATGTTGGAGTGCCCAATTTATGAAATCATCTGTTAATACAGAAGCTGGACTCTGTGCTGAGAACTGACCTCATCCAGGACAAAACAGCAGAGGAAATAGGGAAGGTGAGGAAAAAAATTGTCTGAAATTGTGAAAAATTGAGTGTGACAAATTGAGAGAATATTTACTTTCAGATAACTGAGAAATGAATTGGTGTAAACTAAGGATGTCAAACTGCACCAAATCTAAAAATAGAATCACCATTAAGATAGCTGCTACTAGCATGGCAACTATATATAATGGTCTCAAACGCTATTCTATAATGAAAGTACAGAGAAGTGTTGTTCCAAGTGAAGACTCAGTCCTTTCCTTCCCTGCAGATCTGGACAGACTACCATGCCCAGAAGGATGCTGTGTGTGCAGTCATCCCTGTAAGTTATATATAAATATCTCAAGCCATTCTCTGCTGATTTCTGTTACCATGTTTGTGATACAGAGATGGTGTCACTGTAGGGTGAAGGCTAAATGAAAAGAACAAAAATCTTTAAATGACCTGGTCGTGATGCAGAGAAATTTTGTTTTTAAAAGGACCTATTTCCATGCTCGAGTTTCTTTGTCTTTAACTGTTTTTTTTACTGTTTTATTACAGAAAGACACATATGCTTTGCTGCATGCCAGGACAAACATGTGCCCAACGGTAAGTGAAAAAGGCAAGAGGCTGTTGTAGGGTTTTCACCGACCCCAGATCTTATCTGTCATCTTGCTTTAGCAAACCAATGTTCTTTGCCTGGGATGATTTGATCTACAATATAATGTAATTCTAATAATAATTAATGTTTTTCCATATTGGATACTAAGTTTGGTCTGTCCCCCTCCACAGTTTCTGCTGCCCATGCCCAGGGAGCAGGGATACGAGTTCTTCCTGCTGCAGTTCTCAGGCCATGAGTGCCACTTCACACCCCTCATCAGCTTCCAGGTCAGCAGGGTGAATGGAGGAATGAATGGATGGGTGGATGGACTGTTGCATTGATTGATCTATGAATGAAATATTTGCAAGACACATTGACAAAGATGTCAAATAGGGTCAAGATTACAACAGTAGAAGAAATGAAATCTTTTTGAATTTCTGTGATATATGAAGTTCTTTTATCAATAAATTCTCGACTCTCCTTTCTGACAGGCTCACAAAGAGAATGCCCCCAGTTGTATCCAGATGGTTCACTATCCTGACCTTGCAGATAAGAAGGGTAAGAATCTCAGTCAGATCAACATTTAAAATCTGTTTGTAGGATTTGCTCATCCAGATTGTGCAAACGAGCACATTTATGTTCATGGACTGTTTGACATACTAGTACATTTTTCAATACTTTAGGAGACTGAACTGATATTATCTTTTCATCTTTTCCTGGTCAGGTATTGTACTTATGAGGGCAGAGGTGGACACAAAAATACTGGTAAGGGCGATTTTTTTCCTGTTAATTAGGTTATATCAGGTACATGTACTTCATCTGATTCTTTGCCACTACAAAGGTTTTTAGGGCTAACTTGACAAAACATAAAGGTAGTTGACTCTAAATTCTATGAAATATGATTTTTCCAGTGTCTTTGTAGATATATGATAATTTAAGTGTTTCATTTTGATCTCTTCCCAGACCACAGTAGAAGCTAAATTTCTGGTTGACCAGATGACCATGTACTACACGGCCAGGACTGACCAGAGGTTCAGCATTGTCCGGAACTTCACGGTCAAGCCGACAGAGTTTGACCACATGGTGCTGATCAGGGAGCTGGAGTCTATAGGCTCAGCATCAGAGCAGAAAGCAAACAAGACTGACTGATGGAGTGAAGTACAGACTGTCTGTTTTTAAATGTTTGTTCTGTTTGTTCACTTAACGAGTAAAGCACCTTTTAAAAAGTGTACAGATCCAGTTGTACATCAATGTACAGTCACACCATACCCCTACTCTTTATCAATAGGCTTGGTGGGATCTTTAAGTTGCCCACCTCAAAACATGGAACCTTTGCTTTACGTAATCTCCAAGCAGATCCCTTTCAGTGGCAAGAGAATATCCATTGGCCAGAGGAGTATGGTGGCTAATTAATGGACACGCCTCTGACTCATTTTCACCAGAATCAAGTGAGGAAATTTACACTTGCATCACCAGCTTATTTTACTTGTCTGTGCATGTGGTTTTTCTGCGCCCCCCCCTCCCCCTTGCTTCACTGCAAACTCGAAATACTGCGAATGCCTCCTTTCCTCTCTATTGCGAAAAGCTGCCACATGGCTAAACAAGCTACCAAGACTAAATAAAGGCTTTGATTGATTGATTGATAGATCTACATGTAGTTACTGCTACAGTAACTGAAATAAATCCAAGCTGCTGTAATGGTTTTACACAAGGTCATTTTGTACTGATAATTGTAAACCAAATTTAATGTATTTTAAATATCAACAAATCTTGCTTCCAATGTATATAACTTTGTTCAAGGACATTATATAGACCTGAGAGAATTGATGCAGTGGTCAATAAACAGTCAATATTACTGTACGATACAACTCTTTATTTCAACTGTGTTGACTGAAACTGAATCAGTATTCAAAGGAAAGCGTACTACTCGCAATAGGAAATTTTACACAGGTTCATTATAGGACTATTCTATAGCGTTGATTTTTTTATTTAGAAAACTCAAACATTTGGAAACCTTTACAGTTACTGGGTTATCATCAAAGTGTACATTGAGAAATACAAATCTATAAAGTTAGTTAGCAGTATGTTTGATTCTAGAATCTGTCCAAGAGAACAGAATTTATCATTCATTGATAAAATACACATAGTGTATGTCTTGTAAAATGTACCCCAAAAGACATGGCACATTTCTTAGCAGTTCATCTGCAATGTTGATGCTGAATGAGAGCACTGCCAGGTGCCTTGTTGCACACCTGTGTGTGGTCTTTACCTGGTCATAGGGCTGATGTTGCAGTTGTCCAGGATTCCACAGCTGCAAACATTGTGAGGAAAAAGGTCAATTTGAGTTGGTGGCATCTAACACAGAGAAATACTAGCCCAGTGTCCAAACCTATTTTAACTGTCAAGTCTCTTTCGTCTTCACTGTAAATAAAGGAGCTAAAATAGGTTTGGACACTAGGCTAAAGAAATACTACAGAAAAGAATAAATCATACGAGGGAAAGCAATATATTTCATCCCTACCATGGTATGGACTGAAATATTAGTAACCAATTTCAAGGAAGTTTCACTTACCTGCAAGATGTTCAGGTAAGACAGGGTCCCACCTTTCTTCATCATACTTTTTGTCACACAGTGAGACGACAACAGCAATTACCATGATCTTGATAAACTGCAGGATTAGTAGATCCTAATGATGTTGAGTGGAGTAAAAAAGACATGGTAAATGCAAAGATTTGAATGCTGATACATTTCAGTGGTGTTATCTACATTTTGTACATAAGCTCGAAGAAATTTTACATATAGGGGAAGCTGGAGAATAACTTTAATGTCATCTCCAGCTTAATGTAAAATGATAAGAATAACATACTCAAATGTTTTGATGCCATGTACAAGCAAAGATTTTAATAGCTGTTCAGTAACTATTCATGACTCACCTGTAAAAAGGCGACTCCAATGGATACCAGCCAGCTCAAAGCCTCTTGTTGTCCAAAGTTGATCCCATAAGAAATGGCGATAAATGCCGCTGCACCACAGGTGGCAAACGCTAGGACCCATACCAGCTGCGAACATCTCCGTGAAGACAGTCTGCAGCATGTACTGGATTTTGGTTAAACGAGACAAAGTCAAGCTTCTGTTTTGCTGAAACCAGACTTAATGCTGCCCTGTTCAACAATATCTTTGTTGTGGATGGACGTATAAGCGCAACGCTTAGATTGAACCTATTTTTACATGATCACTAGTGTTGTGTGGCACATCATACATGTAGTTGAAGCGACATCTTAAAACAAGAAGCTGCGATGGGAAATTTTGGAAATTCGACTTCTTGACAACTCACCTGCAACAGCAGCTGCAGGAAGCCCCATCTTTCGTTTTCGCATTTTTCCTCTTTTGCCAGTCATCACCGCTAACACTGCCTTTTGCAGAATGCCAATCGGTAAGTTCAACCTCTTCTTTTTCCGCATCTCTGTTTTCCACATCAACCACGTCCTTGCTGTAGATTGACTTGATTGCTTTCTTTTCTACATCATCATTTCTGCCACAACAATGAGACTCTTCAGTTCTTTCCTTAGTGTTTGCAGTGGACTTGAAGAAAGCTGTGATGAGGATGCCTATAGCAAAAGCGACAAGGCCTGACTCTACACCAATGATGAGCTGCTTCCACACCAGCTGTAATTCACCAATGATGGAATCTCCAGCTGTTCCTTGGAGAATGATGCCGGCAGCCATTTGACACAGCAGGGTGATGAGACAGCATGTCGCTCGCTGGACTCTCGTAAAGCTGGAAAAGATGTATTGAGTGTCTACCTCGGTCTTAGGTAGGGATATTTTTTTTTCTTTCTAAAGAGATTCTAAAGATTCCCTTAATGTGTTTAAGCCTGAGCATCAGTGTACAAGCACGTCTAACCCTAAAAACATGGAGAACAACAGGCACTAAACTGGATAGATAGTGAGTGTGTGTGTTTGCATGTACACGCATATACCTACAGTAAATGCCCAGTGGTCCCGGACCTTGAATAGAATGTTCATATTACCTGCTTCTTGATGGTCGTGTTAGAACGGAGAACCAGAGGTGATCGTCGTGTAATCCAAAGACGGCTTTAGCCACAAACAGTGGTCCAGCCTGTCGGAGCTCATTCTTTTCTGCCACTGCGAGATGGATCTCCAACTGTAAAAGTGCACACATTTTAATGAGATGGGCTGCTTTTTAACTTACTTATGACACAATATTGTAGTTAGCACCAATGGTAACATTGTGCATGCCATCCTGAATTCAGACCAGGTTTTGTTAAAAAAAACTTTGTTATAATGTCCAATCCACTGTACCTGACTGTCTTGATCCGTCGTTAACCACCTGTTGCAGATGAAGTGCCATCGCTGGTCAGTCTGTAGGTCTCGCACCAGGACACGGCTCAAATACCTGTGTTCAACATTACACAACAAACAGTTCATCTAGCATGCTACTAAAATTGACTGTCATTGATTCAATTTTGGGGGCAATAAGGGATTACTATAGCTAGTATATCTTTTCTACTTCCCACAGTATACACAAAAAAGTGTAAGTATAAAACTGACAGTACAATAGACAGTGTTGCCATCATTTTACTCACCAAGACTGGCTCTTCCTTGTGTTGTTGATCCATATAGCTATCTCTTTGATTTCTCCTAACCAATCATGGGTTGTGATGAGGAAGGAGTCAAAGCTTCCGCGCTGTAAAACCTTCCTATTGGTCAGTGGAGCCGATATTGTATGAAGTTCACTTTCTCCTAGACACAGTTTTGAACAGCAAAAAAAAATGATAGTCAAACATAAGTGGTCCACTTTGGTCAAATAGGAAAGTGAAAGAGTCAGATTATGATACTAAAAACAAGAGTTCCACGATCTCATACCTTCGCCAAATGATGTTAACCCTTGCGGGTGACGAATTCTACAATTTTAATCATTGATTTTGTAAATAAGAGCCTCATTTGCATGGATTATATCAGTTGATCATATTCTCCATCCAATGACAGCCTTATCATAACAAAAAGGCTATCATAGCACTTCCTCATAAATTATGCAAATGAGGCTAGATTTGAATAAATTATGTTTATTGATGTTCACCTTCACTTAACTTCCAAATGTGGCAAGTATGAAATTCAGGGTGCAGCAGTTACAACTATGGAATTATAAGAATTTGCCATTAATTATGCAAATTAGGTCCTCATTTACATAATCTATATCATCAGAATGTTTTTCTCGTTCTCAAGTAGATGTTATAAGTGTTTCATAGTTCTATTATCGAACAAAGCAGATTTATAGAATTTCCTCATTAATTATGCAAATTAGCTCTTGATTTGCATAATTGCCATCTGATTATGTCAAGCATCACTTCAACTACCTACATACCGAAAATCATGACAATACGTCAACCGGTTCTTGAGTTATCGTCCTTCAAATTTTTTTCAACAAATGCTCCTGCAGTTCCAGAACAAGGCGATAGGGGACCCAAACTCATGTCACTTCTTCCCTCTCCCAAGAGCTATCTACCAACCAAAATTCGTGACCCTAGCATGCCCAGAACATGAGATATCAAAACCGGAAGTTCAGCTGCAGTACCTAGGAAAGCCGCCAGGGGGCCCAATATCTAATCATTTCTAGGTCTCATTAAGACCTACCTACCTACCAAGTTTCATTCCAATCCATCAACTGCTTCTCGAGTTATCTTGCTAAACCACACCACACACACACACACACACACACACATACCCACAGACAAACGCTACTGAAAACATAACCTTCTTGGCGAAGGTAACAATCAGCCTCAGCATCAAAGTGCAAGTACGTCTAACCCTCGGAAGCTTCGAAGGCAGGAAACAATAGGCGATAAACCAGACAGTTAATCAAACATCTCACCATTGTCTCCGATCAACCGGATGTTGATGTCTGCTAAGGTCCCAGCATTCCTTCTAAATCCAGTAACGACCATGACATCGTACTGGTAATGGTCTAACGGGTCACACTCTTTCACTGCCATTGTTTCAACCTGGGAGAAACAGGGAGACTCGGGTTGGGGGAACCCCAGATGACAAGAATCGAGTGGAATGAACCATTCTACAAATGTACTTATTTCACCTTATGATATGGGCTTTTCACCTCATGCAGTATTTCACCTTATATGGGCATTTTACCTTATGAAGTATTTCCTTTGCATAGTGAATAAGGAGACTCTTTTTAAACACAACCAAGAAAAATTCGGGAATTCACAACCAAGAGGAATTCAGGAATTGCCCTGAGGAAGATGACAACCTCTTGGCTGTGTGAAAAGAGTCTTTCTTCAGTGACTTACTGACCCGATGAAACGATGCATGGACATTGTTGTTTTTTTTTTCATGTTCATCCCAGACTACTTATGAATGAATCTATTTCTATTTCAGTGGCATTAATCGACCACTGCAACTTGCATGATGATTTCATGATATACCAGCTGAGATGAATGATGATGAACAGTAGACGAATACCCAATGGACCTGATTCTCATAGATGTTGTACATACCATAACTTTATCTCCTTTGTCCTTCAGATACGCCCAACACGCCACTACAATGTACAGCACAAATGCGGAGGCCACAGCAATTGGGATGATAAGAACACCTTCAGCGCCATCTGCTAAGGCCACGTCATTGGGCAGGGAGAAGAAGGTGGAGCCAAACGATGTCAGGTGGTCACAGATGCAGTGTGTGCGGTTAGGCGTGGTCAGTGGTCCAAGCTGGAAGATGAGAAAGGTAATTTTGTTACGATTTTCAATAGTCCTTCAACCTGGTGTTTTGTCACAAGAAGCGAAGTTACCACTTAAACATTTTTAAACAATATACTAGTATGTTGGGGTGTGACCACTGGGGTTCACCTAACAACTACCTAACTGCAACAATGAGGAACCTCTTATTCAATGTTATAAGGTCTCTTGTCAATGATTCTACCAAAGAACATGTAAGACTAAACTTGAAAGACAAAGATAGTCAATTGTTATATCATGTTACCTGGCAGCCATCACGTTGCCACGCTGACGTTGTCTCATCAAAGTAGATACAGCTGCTGGTGAACACCAGTAACTCCAGGTCAAGATCACCTGCAAGTACACGTATAAGGTGAAAAGACACGCAGAACAAACCCTACAAATCTGGTTGGAGGTGACCATTTTCATGAAACACATATCTCTCTCTCTCTCTTGGGGAATGTTTCTCAGTCCACATGCACTCAGAATTCAGCACCAAGGACAGACACTATCAGGTATCTGTTAGTAAGATAATAAGTCCAATTTGAGCATGTCTTCTTACGCGGTAGATCCAACGAAAGCGTTTTTTTAGGCTATTGCAACATTAAACTACATGACTGTATAATCAAACACGTTTTACATTTGCCATGGCCAAGGCAACAGACAGTCTCCAAGCTGATGCTGTAATTTTCCTGGTTTGTTAAAAAGACTGTGCATAACAGGTGGTAACTAAAGAATGTAATAAGGTTTCCTAACCTTTATCTCTGTAGAAGATGCCAAGATGGTACATAGAGGAGCTGTTCAATATGCCAAGCTGCCATAAGTAAGGGTCGGCCGTGATGTTTTGGTTTCCAGCCACTTCAATTGTATAATTAGTCACAACAGGCAGGCTTTGCTTGCTGGTGTAGTCGACTGATGTTGGGTATTGGTCCTCACCCAAGTACATTGTTAGTTCTACATCTGGATTCGATGGTCGTAGAAAGAGGAGGAAGGTTTCATTTTCCTGAAGAGGAAAAAACATCAGAAAGTAAAGAAAGGGTCACTGGTACATGGTCATTCAATATGAAATGAAAGAGTAAGGTAACATTTGACAAGCAAATGCATAATGTTTACCATCACATATGGTCTGCTCTGTTAATTCTTACTCAAATGCATCCATATATATGGTGACAAGGGTCTAAATCCCTTCTGCTATAAAAAAATATTGCAACATGATGTTACCATGAAAACCAGTTACCATGGTGACAGACGTCTGGTTCAGGTCATTGACCTTATTTGTTTGGGGAAAAAGTAGAAGAAACAGAGCAAAAACAATGTTTTCCTTCTGCGAAGGTAAACATACCGTAACAAGGTTTTGCACCTACATGCATATCGGTGGTGTTGAATACTGTGACATCCTGGACTTCTGTAACATCTCCTGATATCCGAATGGTGCTCCAGGAATCGGAGCTATCGTCCCGAGGGAAGATGATGTCAACTGCTTTTGACATGTTCCGTACAGGGATGTTCTGTCCTTCAGATGTGAACTCCAGTGATACAACAGTGTCCTCCAGACTTACGTTAGTAGCCCACTGATACGGGTTATTGCTGAAGTGTGACATCTAAAAGGCACATGCGTTAAAAACAGTGAATGCAAAATCAAACTACCATTATACAAAGTTAAATTTTATGCAGCATGATAGAAGATCTGTCAAACATAAATACCTATCCTATGACGAACCTTACCTATTTCAACGTGAATAGTTATTCAGTAAACAAGAAAAATGTTTTCAATCTCAGTGTCAAACCAAGGAGGTTTAAAATCAACACCTTCTTGATCAAACGAATTCAGTTTAAGTACCCTTCCAAAGTAATGGCACTAGATCATGAACAAAAATTTTACCATCTTTCATTTTGATGTGTTACGACAAAGCAATGCAAATGGCGCTGCTATAACAAAGAAAGGGACTTACATGCATATCAATGACCTGGTCAGGTTGGACGGTGCCGTTGCCGAACAGGTCCTCTGTACTTGGGACTGAGAACAAACTCCCAAAATCCTCCTGCACATACGCGCCCGCACGGAAATCCCGGCATTCCTCGCGCAGCAGCATGATAGCGAGGCTTGGGGTGGTCAGTACCTTGGGTGCCTCACCGGGGACTTTCGTGGCGAGGACGACTTGTTTGACGGTAGATATCGTCTGCAGAGACTGCTTCATGACAGCTGAGGACCATGGGGATACCTTCGGCTGAAGACAAAAAGATTTAGATTTCATAATGAGACCAACTGAAGAACAATGACTCACCAGGAATTTTTGACCGAATCACTCTTCATCAGCTTTCTGACCTGAGTGCTGTAGACACGTGACTTTTACCCACATGTGATGTCAGCACTAGGTCAAAGTCGTCGGAAGTTGGTACCGCCAGCATAAATCTTTGTGATGCCCCTAACAGGGAATTTACTTTTGAGTTTAGCAGAGAAATATTTCTTTGTACCTGCTTTGAATCGGGACCTTACCGTGGAATGGTCATGAACTGTGGAGGTTCTCCTGGCAGCTGCTGTGACAACATTAGCCAGGCCGGACAGCAGAGCCTGTGCAGCAGTCTCCACTGTCTGACCGCTAGCTGTTCCATCCTCTGCCTTTACCCGTAGAAATGCTGTCATTTCTGTGAGCTTTGATACAGCCATGTCCTGTTAAACAGGGAATGATAACATTTGCAAAGCAAATGCATAATGTTTACCTTCGCATATAGTTTGTTTTGTTAATTCTTACTCAAACACATTGATATATACGGTGACAGGAGTCTAAATCCCTCCTGCTATTAAATTGCAACATGATGTAGCCCTACACTAGTTACTACGGTGACAGACATCTGGTTCAGGTCATTGACCTTATTTGTTTGAAAAAGAGGAAGAAACTGAGCAATATGTTTTCCTTCGGTATCTAGTAGCTTTTTAAAACCAAATACATGTAGGGCTTTGTTAATACCACAATATACTACAGCTGTCATCATTGCAAGGACAGCACAACAGTTACCTAATACAATGTAGTTCTAGAATGGCATATTGAAAATCACAACAGTCAAATGACGATAGGTTAGTCACAGCCTAAACAACTCAGATGTAAAGGTTGTATAAAGGAACAACAAAGCACCTGTGCGTCTTTTGAAAGCTCTGTGTCATGTCCGGTAAGCTGAGCCATGGCGGTAGCAGTCTGTTGCAGACTGTCCAATGTTGGAATCGGGATCCGGTTCAGACTGGTTATTGCAGCTTTTCGTAGCTGACGTCACATGTAGACAAGAGATATTAAACACTTTACATACAGGTACAGTGGTTGGCAGTACTTTCAGCGTAAATGAATTGAGAGGCCAAGAGCCATCATTAGATATCTAGCTCAACGCCAAACGGCATGTTTCAATGCCAAACACTTAAGGATGGGACTCGATTTAGATTACAATAGTACGCAACAATGCTCGCAGAAACCCATAGACGTTCCAGAACAAAATGGATTGGGACATTTGTTACAGAACACTACCAACAAAGGCTTCGGATATTCTTCGACTAAACTAGGGAGATGACTGTATGATATACCATTATGATTTAGGATCTACCATTATGATGTAGGATCTACCATTATGATGTAGGACCTGCCATTATGATGTAGGATCTACCATTATGATGTAGGATCTACCATTATGATGTAGGATCTACCATTATGATTTAGGATCTACCATTATGATGTTGGATCTACCATCATGATGTAGGATCTACCATTATGATGTAGGATCTACCATTATGATGTAGGATCTACCATTATGATGTAGGATCTACCATTATGATGTTGGATCTACCATTATGATGTTGGATCTACCATCATGATGTAGGATCTACCATTATGATGTAGGATCTACCATTATGATGTAGGATCTACCATTATGATGAAAGGTGATGTATAAGGCCTGATGTTAACAGTGAATGATGACTATAGGTGTCTACAGCATGCATGGCTTACTAGATGGCCGCGATGTATGCATTGTTACCTGTTCCCTGTCCTCCTGGTCAGCGGCTGTGTCCCTGTCTAGTGTAGAGCTGACAGAGGTAAGCAGCCGGACAGCCGCCTGACTGTTACCGGCCTGCAGTAGCCTATCGACCATGGATTCCGTGGTGGTGAGAACAGTGGATACATTTTCCTTAGCTTCTCTCTCTAAAACCTGAGGACAATAGACATCACTTGAATCATTACCTCTATGAAAAATGGAGGTATTGTTTTTGTGTCTGTCGGTGTTTCTGCAACTTTGTGGTCAGCATAACTTTAGAAGGCCTTTATGGATTGTGATGATATTTGGTATGTTGGTTCTTGGTGGAAGACAAAGGTCAAGGTCGAATATGGGCCTCATGTTGGCTGACCTTGGTACTGCAGCAGAACTTCCGTTTTTTTGTATCTTTTGTACTGACAATGCTGTGATCTTGACTTTTTGGTGACAGATAGCTTTTCCTGTCAGGAAAAAGTGGTGTGGGTTTTGTCCCCCTAGCAAGTTGTTTCATATGAGTTTGCGCTGTTTATGTCACAACTGAGAACGTTATCCTACAAAGATCGACAATGTTACCAGTTCGTGTTAAGTGAACTGTGTAGATGTAAAGAGGTTCTCCTGTCTTCACTAATTAATAACCATCCTACAAAAGTACACTAGCCAGAATCTGATACTCGTCAGTTATAACATGGAGACCATTTCGTAAAACGGGGCGTATTTCTGTATGTGTACTATCACCAGTATCCATCTATTAAATGTACAACATAAGCATTAAATGTAGAACATTAGTTGTAGAACATTAAATGTAGAACATAAGATACATGTGATGAAGGGAAAGTGGTGAAAAATTTCTGCATCACCATTGCATTTGTTGTAGTCTCCGTACTTGCTCCAAAAGAGTCTGTGACTTGGACAGCGATGGTGACCACATAGTCGCTGTCCTGGTCTCCAACAGGCAGATACAGTGGCGATGAGGTGCTGTCAGTACCGTAGTAGACCATTGTACCTAACAGTAACACAGATATTTCATATTACATCATGAGGTAAAATCGAGTGTTTCAGTGCCATACAAATGTCCAACAGTCTCGGGGAAAAACATGAGGAGGTAAACAATTGGTCAAAAGGTTACTGTACAACTTTAACACAAGAACTGCAACAGGTGCATTTAGATCGTCATAATCAAAGTAACCCCTTACCTTATTTCTCATGAAAGTTCATCTGTGTTGGTAGTTACATGTTTAAAGTTAAAACTTTAGATCCAACACAATGAAGTTCTCTAATCTATTTTCATCAGGGCCCATCACCCTTTACTCAACCACGACGAGGGCCGACATCGTCTAACAAATACCTTGACCCAGTGTTGACGTCACAATTAAAGGAAGTCACATGACAAGCCTAACTGGGTCAGTCTACTGAAGAAGACCAGAGTGACTGGTCGAAAGCTCTTTATTGTGTTGGTTTTAACTTTGAACAAACCCTTACCTTGTTCCCATGCTTTTTTCGGGGTAGCAGCGCCAGAAATAGCTGCAAAGTTGTAAGTAAGAGGCAGGTTTACGTCCAAAAATCCTGTACACGTGACCTGAAACAACGTCTCCATCACGGTCCAGTGTCCGGAGCGACTGTGCACGTTCCCAGGGCTGGCGGTACGTTGGTTGTAAAGCTGTACAGCACATGCGCAGAATCTCCGCTTTTGCTAGACGCTGTTAATTGCGAAGAAAGCAATCATGAATTTGAATTACTCATTAGAAAGGAACATGGCAAAATTGAGCTGTGAGTTTAAAGTTTGAAAGCGATGAATACATGTACATTGTTCATATGTGGCACCTACCGTCAAGTCGTATAGTGTAGTCTTCAGCAACGGCACCGCTAAACGTATTTTTCTGTATAGACAGGTATGTCTTCTGTCTGCCCGTCAGTGTGTCTGTGTCCCAGTCTATCTCCTGCTTACTGTTGGCAGAGTTGTTCACGAAACTCCAGTAATACTGAGTGCAGTCTGTACACATGGCCTTTAGAACTAGACGTTCAGATGGATTCAGATACTGTCTACAATTCTTCACGCATCTGCAATTAAGAAATGTGCAAAACTAGTTAAAACATTCAAAGGCAATACTTTGACCTTACTTGTGAAAAAGTTAAAAATCTGGCCCATCTAAATTCCTTGGAAGTCCAGGATAAAAGTCTAATTATTATGTTTATTTTCGCAGAAGGAAAACATATTGTTTTTGCTGTGTTTCTTCTTCTGCAAACAAATAAGGTCAATGACCTGAACCAGACGTCTGTCACCATGGTAACTTGTGTTGGGTTACATCATGTTGCAATTTTATAGCAGGAGGGATTTAGACTCCTGTCACCTTAAATATGAATGTGTTTGAGTAAGAATTGATAGAGCAGACCATATGCGAAGGTAATCATTATGCATTTGCTTTGCAGATATTACCTTTGTAGTGTTTATTTTACGTAAAGGTGCTTACAATATTCCTTCCAGGGTGGGAGGGGTACCTTCCACCACCACGACTGTCTTCTCCGCGTGCCCACTGGCTTGTCGCCCCGGTTTGGAAACAGTCACTCGAAACACGTACGTTTGTCCCACTAGAAAAGTGTGTGAGAAAATAAAAATCGTGCAACTCTACAGATATATCTAGAGGGTATGTAATATCTTGCCTCTACATGGCATATATAGGTGCTTGGCAGTAGATTGCGTAGAAATTTCGACTTTCATGTGATACCCTGGAAATCATCATGTAGAAAGCCATCACTGAACATCTGTTGATCTGTGTAAAAATCCAGGAAACTTAGAGAGGGGATAATATACATCCTCTCCCAATTACCTTGAATGGTCTATTAATTGCTAATGATATTTACCATCCAGAGTTCCCCCTGGAATGACCAGTACAGGATCCGTGTTGTTCGTTACAGGCCAGCTCTTTCCAGTTCCCAAGCATCCTCCTAGATAAAAGGCGGATTTTCCATGACGTGAGCTTCATTGGGCTAGTTGGTCGCTCTGTACAAACTATATGTCGTTCCTTCTTTTACATATGGTTTTGCATGACGACTGGAGGTGATATTGCTCACGAGTTGCTCTCTACTTCTTCAGACCATTGTTTACAGATTAGCAAAGTCTTTTACTAATTGAACGGAACGGAAAATATATAATTGAGTGAATGTTAAAAACTGCATATGTACAGTATCTGTATCTGTATATGTATAGCCGGTATAACCGCCTTTCGGCGTAACACACCAGCTTCGCAGGCACGCGGCGCGGTGGCAGCTGGCTATATTACACCGATCGACTTGTTACACCTAACCCTTGAACTTCTAGCTCTAGACAGTAATACGGCGGTATCACAGTTGTGGGTGCTCACGTACCTTCCATCCACTCTGCTGAGCCCGTGTCGCTTGGGAAGGTCTCGTTGTCCAGTCGGCACGCCCAGGTGTACGTTAACCCTGAGGTAGACTCTGCTTCAGCCGCGTCCGGATCATATGATGGGGAGGCATCAACTCTGACCGTCGAGTTCCGCCCTGCAAATGGCGAGAACATTATCCCATAAATTCAAGTAGAACAGACAGTAACCACACAAACATTGTAGCGCCTCATGGCTTGATTGATTAAACGACTGTTTAGTTCTACCAAATGTAGAACTGAGCGGTACAAACAGAGTAGCGTCCCATACATGACCTACCTCCTGAACAGTCACTATTTGTGTTAGACACCGTACGTTAAAGTCGTTGTAAATAATGCCTGTGTTAATGCCTGTGTAAATAAATGTAAATAAATGTGTAATGAATTTGCATGTACAACTGGACGCAATTCAGCCTTTGGCTGCAAAGTCCACGTTTTTTTACGAATAAAACACCATTTGATTGATTGATTGATTGATAAACCAAATTGTTCAGGAGATTCTAAAAACAAGTACAACCCAGAGACATCATACTTGTAGGCCTTTGTTCAAGATATGCTTTAAATTTGTGTTTCTTCCTGTTATACTACTCTCCAAGCAGAAGTTGATGGAGGAAGATCGTTACCTTTTAATGTGGCCTGATTTTTTAGTCGCTACCCCCACCTTGGGTCACGCATGGACCCTCTATGGCCAATAGATACTGCCTGGCCAACTTGATACTGTTTTTGCTACCCTAGGATCAGTTAGTTACTTTTTGAAAAAAAATGGCTATTCTATATCTTTAGCAATAACTTTTCTTCAAAAGAAAACCTACCTGTTGATATCAAGGACCCTCCAGAAATTCTTGTGACCAGGGCACTTTCGACGATCTCGAACCACGTGTAGTCCTCATTGCTGATCACCACTTCTGTCTCATTAACCACGTGAACTTCCCTCACGGAAAACTCCAGGATGTACCGTCCGTAATCTAACGTGTGCTTCGGGATGATGATCTCAGTAGTCCCATTGAGTACGTTACTGGTCGCTGCCTCATTTGAAGAATAAGGGATAGATTGCAAGCCTGTTACGGTATAGGCTCTCCACTCAAATGTCCTATCGTTTGCGTCAGTACAGTTTAATTGTACAGTTGCGGCTAGTGCTATGTCTTGGTCTCTTCTATATGTTGTCGGGTTGGCAACCGTGCTAGTCCCGCCATCTTTGATGTCAGCGCTAGGTCTAAAACATGGGATTTGGTGTACAGTGACCAAAGTCTCTGCTTGGGCTGTAGAAATAGGGTTCGTCGCATTAACTTGGACCCGGTATGTGCCGGCGGAGGGATACACGTGGGAGTAGAAGGTGATGTACATGTCTGACAGTTTGAATGGAAAGTTGACGGTTTGAAATGTTGACTCAACTGTGGCGACTGAGTTTGCGTCTTTAGACAGCGGAGCAAGGGTGACCAGATTCCGGTCTTCGTCAGATAACTGTAAAAAAAGAGCAGCAATATTCATCGTTCAAAAAAGTGAAATAATGTACAACCATTGTATCATCATTGTATAACCAGCACTGTATGTTTCCATTTAGATTTAGGTAATGGTTCGTGACACATTATGTCCTTGATGCTGTGGCATTGCCATTACAAGCCTTACCAGTTTCGGAATGCAATGTATGTATGTAATAATACCTGTAATAGAAAGGTACTGTTCGTTCCAGGAGAAGTGGCAAAGACAGCAAACGTCACCGCTTCGCCGAGTAAGACCGGAGCATTGCTGGCCATGTACACATTGGTGATGGTTTCGTATATGTCCACCTGTCAACAGTCACAAAAACATGTCACTATAGTGCTGTGAAATAGCAAATAAACATAACATATCGTGTAGATCAAGACTATTGCAATGGATGAGTCCTTTACGGGAGTCACGTGTTCAAACTGATGGGTCATCCTTACTGAGGAAGATCATAATACGTAAGACCAAAAATGTCACATGGTTTAAGATCTAAACTTGACTCAAATAACCAATGCCTTTACCTGAAATTCGCCGCTCATAACGGCCCAGTGGTTGAAGGCCATTCCGGTGACAGTGTAAGTCCCAACCTCCTCAAATATATGAGACAGCTTCAACTCTTCTCGTATTAGTTCATCATCAATAAACCACCTGAAGGGGGGAAATTAAGACTTTGTAAATGCTAAATTCGACAAATGCCAAATTCGGAAGTTTATCACTGATATGTCAGTGAAACGAAAAAGGAGACTAGAAAGGTCGACATTTGCTTGGGAGCAAATACAGAATATTTCACTCCATCTCCCTCCGACGCAAAAGTGGCCTATTTCATACCTACCCCAGTGCAAAACTGGAAGATTCTCTCATGGTATGGAGTGAAATATAGATAGACTTTACCTTTTCCTCTACATGTAGTATATAGTCGTATTGTATATTTACCAACTCGTGTGCACGTCATTTTCTGTTCCATGGGAGAGCTCGTACTCAAAGTTCAGGGGCATGAGAAGTGGCGGACCCGGGAAGATGCTTTGACCTGGGCCCTGCCCAGTCATATTCACACCTACAAAATATATGAAAACGTTTCAGATCTAAATGTATGATACGTCATCACATTGTGTACTCGTAAAGTGATTCATATTTGGGGTGAGTTTTCGATGACTGCAATTTTAGTTGCTTATACAATCAAACACCAAACGGGAAAAATCTCAAGTTTCCCTTACCTTCGTGTAGCAGCTTTCCGTTGTGGATTCCCGAGAACGCTGAGAAAATGGTGAGGTTCAAGCCATACGGTTCGTAGTCCTGGGTTGCGTAGACTGACCCGTATGCCTCACTAACCTGATGAACATTGATGTAGGCATTGAGCACAGAAATGTAACAGCTGTGAATATTACATGATAGAGCATCGTGTCATAAGTTAATGTTACAGCGGTATGACAAAAATACTAAGGAGCAGAAATATTACGTCTTACCTGGTTGTACACTCGGACGAAAAATGAATACGATCCAGGCAAGTACACGTACAGGATGTAGAATACTGGCAGCGTGGCGTCGTACTGGTCTCCAACGTAGATGCCGACGTCTGGCAGGTATAGGGGGAATGAAAAAAATTCTCTTACATGGCGTGGCAGACCATACCATTACATGTTGCAGCAATTTTCTATGGATCCTTATGGTTTGGAATTTGCATTGTTTGTTGCAATACCTCACTACAATATTTTATATTTTCTAACTCTGGCGATTTTGTTTTAATGTAAGAAATATTCGTACACTACCATCAATGCCGTCACCATAGGACACATCGACGAACAGGTCTGTCGGTAGAGTTGAGTCCAAGAGCAAGACCGTGAACTCGACGGGGTTCGGGGCTTGGGCGGGACTGTTGTCGGTCACAAGGACGCTTGTCACCGGCCACTGAGCCGTTACAGACACGCTCGCAGTCGCCTCGGATAGGATATTTGTCCCGTTAACTACAACGTGGTACTGTCCTTGGTCCTGAAACGTGAGTGTGAATGTCGAGAGGTGGTATTCCGAGAGGTTGTACGGTATAACGCCCTGGTAGGAGGTCAGATTGCCGGCTTGGGTGTAGTCCACTGGAGTTGGTATATCAAAGTGCCCGCCGCCGTTGACGCTGCTCACGTAAGTGGCATTGTAACCCACCTGTCTGGCCAGGACTAGGAATCTAGCCGGGTACTGACACGCCGCGTAGCCTATGGCCGGGGAAACGCCGGAAACCGGAGTGGGGCCGTCAGTTCCAACGTGAAATACGTGTATGCCGTGGATGCAGTCAATAACTCTGAGAGTCAGATTAGCGGAAATCTCAGAGAAATCGTTGGCAGCAGTTGCTGTGACCGTGTACAGACCCTCTGTTAGATTGACGGCAGGAGTCGTGGTGATGCCGTCCAGTAGCCAGGTGACAGTTTCAACCTCTCCCGTTACCTAGGATGATAGAAATTAATTCTAAGGGCACAATTCCGGGCCCGTTTGGGAGTTTCCAGGAACGACAAGAATTATATAAAAGACTCAAACACATAAAGAAGTTAAAGAAAAACTAATCATGTGTACTACAGTATTTGTATATATTGTTGATGTGAATTGCTTGTGTTTCATTCATGCAAACAGCCCGACCGGGCCCCGCGGGCCGGTTTGGAAATGTGCCCTAAACATAAAGCAGAATTATGTGACTTTTTGGTGCCTTGGGAAAACTATGCTCGCCGTCTCAACGTGCTGCTGTATCATAAATATGAATCTTGATACTAGTACGTATCAAACGTCATACAAAAAGAATGTCATTTTAGGGTAATTTAGAAAGACCTGTGAAATAATGATTAGTTAGCATTACCTGTGTGACCGCGAGACTTATTTCGTGATTCGTAGCGAAGTACACCTCCTGTTGGTCAGCAGAACTCAGGGAAGCCTGTACGTGTGCTTGTTGGGTAGCAGAAATAACCAGGGAAGTCAAGGGTTCTGAAAAGTACAGTTAGAGGCGATGAATAGGTGTGTTCTTCGTTGCCTGACATGCAAAAAGTACGAGTCTCCAATAGACAAATAACGCTGGTTCAAAACAGTAAAATATTGCCAAATAGTCAAATAGAGAATATTTGACCTAGAGCTAGCCACAGTAAAGTTCATTTTCTCGCGCAGTGAGGGGAAATTAACCTTCCCGTGGACTGACTCTCCTGACCATTTTCCCCCCGAATTTTACAATCCGTACCCCGATAGGGTGGCCAGATGGAAGCTATCTGCACTGTCGTTTTGAATCTGCGCTAGCTCAGGTACTGATGAATGCCAAATTTCACTTCAATTTGTTCGTAAAGTCTGGTAACGCACCTGTACAGTTCCAACCATTGCTCGCCAGAGAGTAGCCCACATCACAGGAGCAGGTGTAGTTACCGATGTGGTTGTGACAGGTGTGCTCACAGTTGTCTATGTCCAAACTGCACTCATCAACATCTGTAGTTCAAGAATCAGGGAATAATGCATGGTGTTTATTAATGATATTGGAGTTGATTTTTAGCAGAAACAAATTATTACTGTAGAAACTTACAGACAATTCATCTATTTTACCCAGTTGTCATGTACATAGCGTCGAATGGAAAATCTAGTGGACACAGGATAGAGAGGTCACGGGTTCGATTCCTGGCATTCTTCGCTAAAGTTGTTTTACTCGGCTTTTCTTATTCCACCCAGGTGTAAAATGCGTACCTGACTTCGGTTGGGGAGGTAAAAGGTGGTGGAAGGAGAGGGATGGGTTCCGCCTTCCAATACCGTGCTCTAGACGCATGGATTAACAACCCACTGCCGCTAGCTACGACATACTAAAAGCTGAGTTTCCAAGCAGAGGTTCGGGTTTTGGCTTATTTCTGGCGTGTTTTTAGGCTTGTCATCGGGGTTTCTTTTTTGCACTGGATTTTTTTTTCACGCAAACCCAACCCGTTACTGAAGGCTCTGGGACCTTTACCTTTTAACACCTAAATTTTAGTGTCTTTCGAGTCACCTTTTGGTTAATAAACTTTTTAAAAAAAGGACATCTTATGAACAGAAATAAGTGTTGATACTTGCCCACACATGTGCCGCTGTCCATGACGTACCCAGCCCAACAGGAACACGTGAAGCTTCCCGGGACGTTCTCACACACCTGCGCACAGTCGTCAGTACCCAGGCTGCACTCGTCTACGTCTGGGGGCGGGCATTCGACAAAAATAGGTGGCTTAGCTATCTATCAACAAGACTGGCAATGAAAACATGCATGGCGACGGTGGTTCCTGTTAGGGTTATTGTTCGCATGGTACTGCCATGACTTCATGAATTCGAGGAAGCCTTGGTACCCTGCCCTCCCCTGAGTGTATAGTGAACGAGCCGCGGGGTCACCGAAACTGGGGCATCCGGGGCAGACAGGTTTTCCCAAGGGTTTCCAGGAATGTGGGCATGTCAACAAACAGAGATAGGAGACATGCCTGTGGACATTCCATGCCTGTGAACAAAATTCCTGTACGATTCCTAGAATTCTTGCAAATTGCACACAATACTGTACCATTTGGCTCCTCCCTGAGACGTCGCCAAAAGTTGTCTTTTATTTGGAAAGTTGTGCACCAAAGTGGATATGGTGAATAGGAAACAGGTACATGTACACGTATGTCCTACCTATGTGGCACATGGTGCCCTCCCACCCCGCTTCACACCCGCCGCTGCTGCACACGCCGGTGTACCTGCTGCACACATAGATCCCAGAAGCGCAGTGGCACGTCTGCAGGCAGTCCGATCCGTACGTGCCGTACGAACATTCTACAGGGTAGAAAACAGGCCTGCTTTGTGATTCAAATGAAAGCTTATTTCGGCGTATCTAGTAGAACTAGTTATCAGTAGCCTGGTAATTATCTCCTTCTTATCTAGCTTCGGTTTGCTCCTTGCATCCATCCCTAGAAGAGGATGGATACCAAGCTAATACTAGTTATGTTTATCGAAGGAAAACATACTGTTTTTGCTCAGTTTCTTCCTCTTCTTCTTCTCCAAAAAAATAAGGTCAATAACCTGAACCGGACGTCTGTAACCATGGTAACTAGTGTTGGGTTAAATCATGTAACTTTTGTTGCAATTTTATAGCAGGAGGGATTTAGACTCCTGTCACCGTATATATGAATGTGTTTGAGTAAGAATTAACGGAGCAGGCCATATGCGAAGGTAAACATTATGCATTTGCTTTGCAAATGTTACCTTTCTAGTATATTATTGTATCTGTTGCATTCTAGAATATGTTATTCCAAAACGTTTTGGAATAGACCACGTTTTGGAATACAACAGGCGTTCCACTTCGTTTGTCTGTCTGTGTATGTATGAGTTTAGATTGGGTTTTAGGTTTGACGCAAAACACATGATTACAAAATGTGTTGACATGGCTTATGTATATCGTTTTGGAATACAGATGCATACCACTTCGTAGTATTCCAAATCGTGTTTTATAATGGAACACGTTTTAAAATGCAACGGTATCAGTGTAAAAGAACTTTAAGGTCCAAGGACATGAGATAGACTTACGTGCGTTGCAGTTCGATCCTTTGTATCCCGCTATACACCGGCAGCCTAGCGGGTCCGGGCCGCAGACGATCTTGTACTGACAGGTACCGCGGGCACAGCGGCTGATACACGAGTCTCCGAAATAACCAACAGAGCAGCCTTCAAACAAGACACACTTTCATCATTATGTTTACCGAAGGAAATGTTGTTGTTGCTACGTTTCCTCTTCTTCTTCCGTTCCAAACACTACCCTCTGACCTGTCCAATGACCTGATCACGATCCATGGTAACTGGTGTTGGGTTACTTAATGTTGCAATTTTATAGTAGGAGGGATTTTTACTCTCGTCTGACCATATATATAAATGTATTTGAGTAAGAATTAACAGAGCAGACCATATGCAATGGTAAACATTATGCATTCATTCGATTTCGATTGCGTGAGCTAGAAACACACTAGCGTGGTTATTTTCTCCGATTATGTAGTTTTCGCAAAACCGGAGTAACAGTGGCAATCTTTTTTTTCACGTCCTCTGAATTCTGTTTCCCTCCCTTTGACGTTCATTGCTGACTAACATGCTTTACGGCGCCTTGCTTATCAAACATGCTTCTTACCAGTACCATGCAGTTTTGTTACCTAAGTCGCAGTGCAAGCCACCGAACCCAGGCGCACAGATGCACTGTCCCGTCTCGTCATCACAGACTCCGCCGTTGTTACACTCTTCACACGTGGAGGTACAGGCTGGAGGGCCCCACTTGCCTTCAGGACATTCTATAAATCATAGAGAAATTCCCATAAGAGAAGGGCATGGATAAGATAATATCCGATGTGTTTACTGATGTTAATGGCATCCAAACAAATTTCAAGAAATCAGTTTAATATTGACATTTGCTGCCATTGGCATTGCTCCCTGCATCATTTCATGAGGGGTGCCAGAGTATACAGTGCAATTTTACGGAATACACTGCAATTTTACTGAATACCGTACGAATGCACTGCATCCCGTAAAATTGTACTGTATACTAATACTATTGCATGCACTGTATTCAGTAAAAGTGTACTGTATTCCGTAAAATTGCACTGTATTCCGTAATACTCGGCACCCCTGTTCCTACTTGAAACGTTTGAAAGAGCCCACAAACAAGCTACGTAAAACGTCTCGTTCTTTTGTTCTTTACCACTAGAACCAGCTAACGATGTGAAACAAGCAACTGTTCCCGTTATTACATTACATGTTTGCCTCACAGATATCAGTATGCCATGGGAAAGGATAGGTTCAACTGACTACATTGAAAATGACCAGAAAATTGACTTAAAAAATCCAGGTTTACTGCCCTGAAATCGCATTGGATTCCTTTAACACTAGTTTGGTCTGTAATTGAATGGAAAAGTCTATGATCTAAAATGCTGTCCATGAAAACTCACCTCTAACGATGAGCCTCATGATGCCTTGCTTGCGGTCGCTGTACCTGCCCGTGTAGTAACACTCGTACAGGCCCTCGTCCGACATCTTGGGAAAGATAAAGGAAATACAGCAAAAAACAATATTAGCGTTGTATTATGTAATACATGACAATTACTGCCAGCTTCTACTACGGGCTTCTGTCTTTAGTTTGACTGGCGTTAAACTCAACAAGACATGAAGGGTTATCTGATCTTGGTTTTCAGGTCCTGTGTACTCTCTCAATGACAGTGAACGGAATTGTTGTTTTAACTACGGCTGACCTGAACATTCACAATGGCCAGGTCGCAATCCGTGTAGGTCCCGGGAAGCACTGAGCCGTCCTTCCTCCACTCTGTAGTACCGTCGTGGCCGCCAGGGGGCGGGTTGTACTCAAACATGGACAGCGTCGCGTTTTCGTTGATGTTGACCGTGACAGAGAACGAATTCGGGTGGAAGTAAGCTGCGATGGAAGAGAACCTGCTGTAACCAATTTACGCCATAGCTGGGCCTCGATAACGTTCGGTAGGGTGTTCTGGTCCGTGTGATAACTAGCCTTATGTCCTACCTGGGCCGCGATTACGTTCGATACGGGTGTTCCGGCCCGTGTGGTAACTAGCGGTACGGCCCGGGGCTTCTTAACGCGTACGGCCCGGGGCTTCCAAATGTTCCATAGAACGATTCGAACGCGTTTCGCCCTAACCGCGTGCAACGCTTTCGAAAATTCGAATGCAAAATTCGGACGTTGGAATTGATGTTGTTGCACTTTTTGGGTTTAAGGACACCAACTTTCTGCTCATTTTGCATTGAAAGGCGTGTTTTCTTGGGTGGGTATGACATAAATAAAATACAACACGGTGTATTCCGCATCACCCTCGGTCCCAGCCCTCCCGCGGATCGGATCTCCCTCCGGCCTTCGGGCGATCCGACGCGCGGTCGGGCTGGTACCTCGGGCGATACGGAATACCCCGTGTTGTATTCTATATTTATATCATACCCGGGCCGTGATAACCTTCGATAACGGTGCTCCGGACCGGGCCATATATATACTTTACGGTACGGCCCGGGCTTCCATGACTTCCATAGAACAATTCGAACGCGTTTCGCCCTATCCGCGTGAGTCGCTTTCGAAAATTCGAATACAGAATTCGGACGTTGGAATATTGATGTTGCTACATTTTTGTTGGTTTACGGACACCAAATTTTGGTTCATTTTGCATTGAAAGGCGCGTTTTGTTAGGTGGGTATGGGGTAAATAAAACACAACACGTTGAACACGGTGTATTCCGCATCTCCCTCGGTCCCAGCCCTACCGCGAGTCGGATCGCCCTTCGGCCGTCGGGCTAGTACCTCGGGCGATACGGAATACCTCGTGTTGTATTCTATATATACATCAAACAAATCATGTTTATCTATCAACACATGGAAGCCTTCGGTCTATTCTAGCCCCTTACCTCTGGTAAGAATCGTAAGACCGATGACTTCACGAGTTAGACCATGCCGAGTCGTCTTACAGGAGAAGGCGTTGACTCGAAAGTTCCCGGCGTCGTCAAACAGCCTGAGCCCGTATCTACTGTCTGTGTGACCGATACTGCTGTAGTGAACTCCGTCCGTTAGGTAATCTATGCTGGTGCCGTAACCTGAAAAATTAGTATTTGGAATTAGACCCTAGACTTTACTAGGTGTACAAGCTCTGGCCATGGTAGGGAATCGGGGCATCTTTTCTGTGGTATTCACAGCAGGCTCAAAGTACCAAGAAATGTCACACTCTCTTTTTTCACAAGAACAATTTGGTAGACTAGTGAACTGCTACGCTTACCAGCAGCGTGCAGTAGCTGGGATTCGAACCCTCGACTTTCAGTTCCAAAAGCAGCGGCGTTTACCACTCCTGCTGCATTTCAAAATGTTCAAAAACCGTTCGCAAAGATGAATTGCGCAACAGATGATGTTCAATGATGTCACATTTGCTCTAACCTGTGTCCAACTTGATGCCGACATGGTAGCCATTGATCAATGTCAGATCCCCCAAGGAAGGCCTGCAAAGGGTTTCCGTGTGATCTGTACGCGTCACGTCAACTCTGGGATACTGCATCTCCACATACAGATCCACCTTCGGGCCTGAGGAAGCCAGAAAAAACATAACATACATGAGAAACAAAATCAAATGTCGCGGGTACCAGGGGTCTCCCCAGAAATTCTTAGGGGAGAGCGGCTCCCTAATCGGTTGATGAAAAATCAGCGAATTTTTATAATCATCAATGACTAAGAGAAAACCCTAACATTTGGGTGAGGTGCTAGGATTTGGGGGAGAGCTTCTATCTAGAGTTCTGCTTCTCGCCGCTATATGTAACGTGGTGTGGTATATACGTAGGTGGCGCTTTTGCAAGCGAGAACACAATCCCAAACATATGGCTGAGTAATGTACCATGACGCCTGCTTTGTGGTTAAGACTTACCATGACAGAACCAGCCGTTATCGTGCAGTGTGTACCCCTCCCAACAGGAGCAGGTAAAACTGCCCTCTGTGTTAGTGCAGACTTGGGCACAGTTGTCACTCCCCTCCGCACATTCATCTACATCTGTAGTAACGTTACAGAGAAACAAAGTTCAGATCATACAAGGGTTTAGTCTCTACCAGGCTAACTACGCTGGCTATATATATAGGAGAACATTTGCCAGGGGAATTTGGACGCCTTGGGGTTTGACTGGCGGAAAGAACAAGTTGGACCTTCCGCGGACTGACACTTCTGGCCAAATTTATTCTTCTTTTTGGTGAATTCTACGATCCGTATTCCCGTAGAAAAGCCTGGTGAAGGCTACAAGGTTTTCACCATGAGAATAAAAGTGAGAACAAAACTGTTCAAAACAGTTTCTTCCTTTACAAACGGAGTATATACATACAGCAGGAGAGTAACAAAAGAATTAATTTCTGAAGCTCCCTAATTTGACCTTGACCTTTGAATTATTTACCTGAGATTGCGACGTGAAACAGCATCGTAAGAAGGGCCGCCAGGAAGACACCCCGCAGCGCATCTTTAAGTGGATAAGTCATCTTATATTGAGGGAATGAATGTCTGTGGTTTCTATAGGGACAGGTGTCTTTAACAATGTCCTCCCCGAACGTCACAACAGTCTCGTTCCACCATTGTTTCGTCTGGTAGTACGGCGTTCGAAAATTCGAACGGCCGAACTTCGAACAGCGTTCGCACCGCGCTGTTCTATGACTACGTCACTTCCCATGTAGATCCCATCTAGAGCATGATTTGAAGTATGATAGGTGTGGTATAAAGTTACGCATACAACGATTCATTCTTTATCTCTCTCTGTCAGTTAAGAAGCAAAAGAACTTGTGTTACTAGGAGCTACCCTCTGATAGCTTTAGTGTCCCCCAAAGTTATGTGTTGATATGTTAAGCGCACATTTGTAAACTACTTCCCCGTACTTGCCTGTATCTTTGTCTGCTTTTCAGTAAGTCAAAAATGAAGCTTCAAACTCGATGTACCGTTTTACAGTAATACGATGAATGATCCATCTCTACATAGTGTCGTATTTTGCATAACTGTACTGCAGTTCAATACTTTTTACAACAAGAGTATACTTTTTCAAAAAAATACTTTTGCCAATATGCCGTGTCCTTAACCTTAGGTCTGTTTTTCTTTCACACCCAAACCTGATTTACAGACGCCCCTTACGTTTAGTCCAGGTTCTTTCATAGCAGGGCTCAAGTCAATTCTTACGAACAGAACCGACTTACGATATTCCCATGCTGATTAAATACTGACAAAGTACTTCAGCTATATCCAATTCAATTATCTGGTCTGAATGGTTTATCAAGTGGGACTTAAGCTATCTTGATAATGGCTTTTGTCCCCCAGGAGGCCTTGGATCACTGTTTCAAAACTCGGCTCAAGTTTCGTTCATTATTGTTGGAAAGGTCAGTAATAACATCATATGTGATACATCGTGGCGTTTTATTTCGTAAACCAGGATGAGATCTGCCTTCACAACTTTATCACTGTTAAGGTTGTCAACATTCTGAGTAAGGTAATTTTGCTTAGTCGTGATCACTCGTAGGATACTATGAAGTAAGATCATCATCATCATCATCAAGATACTATGAAGTTATGATAAGGATATTTTGATCTGGAAAGAAATTGAACATTCCATTTCAAGTTTGATGCTATCAAGTAATGATATGGACGTACATTTTGATCTGGAAAGAAATTGAGCATTCCCCTATTTTCTTCGCTAGTTCAAGTATAAAGTAAGAGCGCCATTAATCAAGTGCGCCAAGAGAGGATTGGCCTTTGACATCCTGAGGAAATATTAGAGCCCAAGATCACTAATGACGTCTAGAGTCTGTCTTTTTGTCAGTTAATTATATAAAAAGCATAACAATTCGTGTTACTAGGAGCTGCTTTCTAAGGTTTGCACCTAGACAATGCAAAAACTAACAACACAACATGTCTGACAACGTGTGTACTTAATCAAATACCACAACCTGCGTCACAAGGGAGCTATATACCTCCCGGAGACTTGACAAGACACACAGAAATGTTACAACATGCTGGCCGTCACCATGCGCTGTCTGGTGGGTTTTCTAGTTGTGCTAACCAACGTCGGTAAGGCAGTCATTTTCACTACGTGGAGACTATTTGCAGTTTTGTCATTGGCGCGAAACAACCATGTTACTGGAGTATTTTTATTTTTTAAGGATCCTTCCGTCGCTCGTAATTATTTCGTTTGTATGGCATCATTTGTGTGTACAAAATTTCTTCTTCAGCAAGGGACAGGAAAAACTTTATTCTACTATTAGGAAATCCACACAAGATCTGTTAAAGCTCAAGTAATGAAATTCAATACACGCTTGGTAAACATTTCAACTAAACAAAACTTGCGTCGTGTGGCGTAACGGCAGAGTGCTCGACTCGGAACCAAGAGGTCCCGGGTTCGAGTCCTGACATATACATTCCACAGATCTTGTGCCCTTGGGAAAGGCACTTTACACGAGTTTCCTCACGAGTTTCCTCGAGTGAATTTCTTCTCCTGTATTTGTCCTCCGTTGGTGACGGCGTAAAATAAGTTGATATAAGTTGAGTACTAATACTAGTGTTCTTTTCTGCAGTCGTCTTGTCTGGAGCTGATACCAACATCGCTGTAGGGAAGCCGGCGTTCCAAACATCGACATCCGTTCACTATAGTACCGATGGGGTTCCCAGCCGTGCCGTGGACGGGAACCTCAATTCTAACTACCGTGGTCTCTCCTGCACACACACACAGCTGTCTGAACACAACCCCGCGTGGTGGGTGGATCTCGGAAATTCGTTTCCAATTAACAGGTACGTGTTGTCGAAAAGGGAGCACAAGCCAGTGTTAGAAATATCCGGCTGCATTGCATGTGCAGAACAAATTAAATATTGCAGAAGAAAAACTAAATAGCCTGCAATTTTGCAGACTAAATAAATCAGGCTAGGGGTTCAATTATGTTGGTATGATATTGTTCAAGAGTTGTGTGTTTTACTGCTACTGACTTTATACGTGTGTTTTTTTTTCAAATTGCATGCAAAATGTTTGCCAACATACCATTTTTTGGTCAGGATTTAGTGCATATTTCCAGAAAGTACTTCTGAATTGCAGAACAAAACTTTGACATTCTGCAATATGGCAGAACACTGAAAAAAGTATTTCTACCACTGCAATCGTTTCTTTCCCAAGCTTGATAACACCACTGAAAGTTGAGCTGGAGATACAATGAACCACTGTTAAAGTGTGCAGCGTTATACCAGTTGATGTGTACAAACTCTAATGTAACTGCTCTTATGTCTTAACGTCGTCTACATAATAGAGTGGCCGTCTTCAACCGCCAGGACTGTTGTTGGGAACGAATCAACCCCTTCAACATCCACGTCGGGGACTCCGACCAGGTCAGCACGAACCCCAGGTGTGTGGGGGACTATCGACTGGTGGCCGGTCAGACGTACGTTTCTCTCCCGTGCTATAACATGCGGGGACGGTACGTCGGCATTCTTCTTCCCGGATACAACCGAATCCTAACCCTGTGCGAGGTCCAAGTCTATGTAAATTTAGGTATGTGTTTTTTTTTTTACATACAACTGTAATGATTCTTATTTGGAATTTTCTTGGGCATTGAAAGATCAATGCGTCTAGTTTTTCTTACACGTATTCTACTTTTTTTGTTTTCGTACATGGTTCTTCTGATTTAGCATTACTGACAACTGAGGCCGCTGCTACCACTCCAGCTGTTACAACCACCACGCCTGCTGTTACAACCACTACGCCTGCTGTTACAACCACCACGCCTGCGGTTACAACCACCACGCCTGCTGTTACAACCAATACGCCTGCTGTTACAACCACTACGCCTGCTGTTACAACCACCACGCCTGCTGTTACAACACCTACTCCTGCTGTTACAACAACCACTCCTGTTACAACCAGTACGCCTGCTGTTACAACCACCACGCCTGCTGGTACAACCACCACGCCTGCTGGTACAACCAGTACGCCTATTACCACAACCGTTAGGTCATCAAATGACGCAAGCATCGTGACCACTACGATGTCACAGCCGGAGGATCCCACCAGTCCTCCCCCGACCGCGTCGCTAACTACCAGCCGGCTGGGGGAGGGGGGATCCGCCGCCGCTAACAAGGGCGGGGCACCGGGAGGGGCAGTAGCAGGCGGCGTGACCGGAGCGATGGTTCTTGTGGGAGCAGGAATAGCCATAGGCGGGTTCCTGCTGTATAGAAAGAAGAAGAAAGTTGCCGTGGAGCCTACACCCTCAGAACGAGTGGAAAGCTATTGAATGTACAGTCCATGCTCCATGCACAAACTACCAGATTTCTACATTTCTATGACAGTACTGGCACAGTACAAATGAGTCTAATTTGTCTCATTCGTATCTACTAAAGGTTTACACGTATAGGTGCAGAGCATACCAGACAGTTTCTGGGTGCGTGAATGATGTTTAGCACCAAGGACAGGTTTTGTTATTCCTGTATGAGGCGCGCGCGCGTATGTCTGTGTCTTTATCTATGTTTGGGTCTGGGGTGGTGGATATTTTTAAGCATATACCAGAGACAGATGTGTTTCTTTGTGTGTTGATATTTTTCAGTACCAGATATAGGATTGTTTGTTAAGTTCATCTGCGTACCTGTCCGTATGTTTTGACTGATTTCTGTTCAGTCATAAATAAAGCTCCAAACTCATTGGGCAGATCTACAATAACAAGATGAGTTAACAGTCTATGTATTGTATAGTGTTGTACAAATGTTACTGTCACGCGTACGCACTGACATCTAGCATTAGCTGGTGTGTTACGCCAAGGGGCGGTTATACCGGCTATACAGATACATGCATGTGTATAATTATACAAATGCATCATTTCAGCCCTCGGGCTACGAATGTGGTGGAGTATTTTTGCATCTCAATACCTTGTCAAGAAAATACCTTTGCCGGCATATCGTGTCTTCGTTCAACTTAAGATGTTTTCTTTCACACAAAAACTTCATTTACCAGCATCCTAGTACTTACTGCCATTTTTCCTTAACTTCGGTAGTAATGTTATCTCTAGATTCTTTCAAAGCAGGACTCAAATCAATCATTACAAGTCGAACCAACTGGTAACCTTCCCATACTGGTTGAATGGTGACAAAGGACTTAAGCTTAAAGCTTATTCAATTGTCTGGTCTAAATTCCTTCAGAAGGAACAGCTCTTAACGGCTTTCGTCCCCAGAATGTCTTTCATCAATGTTTCAAAACATCATTTCTTGTTGAGAACGTAATTTTAAAAGAACCTTACATGCTGTACATCATGACGTTTTATTTGGTAAACCCGGACGAGATCTGGCTTCACAACTTACATGTATATCACCGATAAGGTTTCTAACATATTAATCAAGGTAATTTTCGTCAACCTTGATCACATCTCTTAAGATGTTTTGATCTGAATAATAATGTTACACTAGTGTTAAGTCTTCTTCGTTGTTTATTTTAAAGCTAAAATGCAATAACGCAAGTGCGTCAAGAGAGAAACAACCTTTCACATCCAGAGGAAACATTACAGTCCAAGTTCACTAATGGCGTTAAGATTCTTTCTTCAAGACAGTGATTG